TCTTTGGGTTTTGGTAACAACCGTTGACTTTGGGTGGAAACATAGAAGGAGCCTCAATTAGAGTGGACCAAATCAAAACAAACGGCTTTTATTGATCACCATATCGAGCTCTGTGTTGTTGATTTCATACATATAGATTGGCTAGCCTAGCTAGCTAGCCCAAAGCTTATTTAACCCTAGTGATGGATAGTTACAAGAGCATAGAACTTTCTATCCTTTAATCCCTTTCATGCATGAGAGGGTTAATAATTCTTTTACTCTAATGTAGTGTTGACAAAAATGTCAACATAGCTAGGGTAGCTAGCATTGGGATTGCATTGACCTAATCAACAAGCTATTTTGCAAAGTTTCATGAAATTTGGAAAGGCATGCACTAGCTAGCTAGCTTTAAATCAAAAGCATGCAGGCTTTGGGGATCTTGATGGCCACTAATATTTGATAAAGCCATGAGTACATGTACATTATAGACATGCTATGTCTAGGTACAAATCAATCATATAATCTAGTTTATTGTTTCTAGATAAATGTGATTGACCATAACAATCGAATGTAGCGTCGCAGATGTAGTTATATTCGTATTCTTTCAAAAGTAAATTTTGAGGTGTTTTATTAAGCAGGATGACCGATTTGATGTGAATATTTTTCTTTGCTTAGGGCGTGCTACATTTTCATGGTTTACTATGCATATAATTACAATTATATGCATATATTATTTCTCTTAAATGCCCCTTCACACGAAATTTTTATAAATGAGTTTGAAATTTTCACAAGTCTGCCATATCTTATTTTCAAAATATTAATATTGAGACTTGTGTGAAACTTTGACCATATGACTTTTAATGTCGTGTCAGTAATTCATTGCTGCCAATAATTTGAATTGTGAGGAGAAGTTTTGAAATGAATTTTTGATATCATTCCTCAGATTGGAACTTTTGAAGCGAATGCCTTCGCTTTGCAATAATATGCATTCAAATTTGTGCTAATTTAATCACTTATGCCGACAATATAGAGCTAACAAAAGCTTTTGTTTGCTTGTCGGCCATAATGGGATTATTTAGGGTTTATTTATCTACACATAGGTGATTACTAAAATTCTTGAGCTTTTTTTTTTGACAAAAGATAATCTTCATTAATCAAAACCAAAGAAAGTTACATCCTGGCCAGAAGTCAGGTCTGAAAATCAAAGTTACGACTCGCAGTCGGGTACAAAGAAAGGGCCTTTCTAGCCACCAAATGGGCTACCCTATTTCTACGCCGACCTACAAATCTAACACTAAACCCTGAGCGACTCGCCAAGTGATGAATAATTTCCTCAAGAATAGCACCAATCCGACTATCACTAGCATCCGCCTGGTTGATTTTATCAATAATAACCTTAGCATCCCCCTCCAGACACACCTCCATGATTCCCCGATTCAGACACCAGAAAACAGCTTCTCGGAGCACCAGTACTTCAACCACCATGGGATCATCAATGCCCGAGAACTGAACCCCCCCAGCCATCAAGACCTCTCTCGCCGGGGTCATAAGAACAATCCCCCCGCAGAATGGGAACCCCTCCTCGTAGCCCCATCCCACATACAAACCAGCTTATCCGCATCCCTCACCACCGGTTGAGGTGGGGGAAGTAGAAAGGAGAAAGACTGCCGATCCACAGGCAGACCTACCCACTCCTCAACCTGCTGATTAAACTGACGCATCAAAGCCGGGATCCCAAACTGCTTGCCCTCAAAAAAAATTCTTGAGCTCCTTAGTTTCAGCAGTAATTTTCTTTTTTTCTCATTCATACTTTATATTTTTGCCTTCATTTGGATTTTTTTTTGCCTGCTCAGATCCCAATCAATCACTAATTGTATTTGTGGGCAAGTTGTTGGGGTGTGTTTGGCTCTCTTTGCATGGATACCAAGAAGCTACAACTATTCCAATTTTCAATTTTCATTAATTTGGGAATTAACAACTTCGTATATATTTTTCTCGTCCAAGATGTAACGAATTGGTCAATTGTAATTTTACCTCACACATTTTACTATAATTTAAATCTAGTGTGACATTACTAATTAATCATATCATTCGAGATATACGAATAATGTACCGTACAAGTTACTATTTGTTTGTTCCCATTTATTACCAAACAAGTTTGACATCCATTTTGAGCATACCATTTATTTATCTTTTTGTCTTAAATCCATCCCAATTGAATTTGTTGTTGGATCAAGAAATTTTATTGCTTTTTTTTTTTATAGGTTTTATTGGCTTTTGTATATTTGTCAATACCTGAATTATTGAGATAAACCCTTTTTTCATATTTAAGACTTCTAAATTGTGGCAAACCCTAACCTTTTGGCGTATCTCTGAATCACGGCTCAAGATAGGGTGCATAACCATGGGTTATGCACCCATCAATAACCAAATCTGGACCCTTCATTTAGAAAATCCAGATCTAAGGATGGAGAATTAAATGCTATTTTTATTTTCACTAGCTTTCTTAATTGACTCATATCTTTTTCGTTTTAACTCGGATTTTAATTTTTTTTGCACAGATGGAACGAGTTCACCGTGCTCTACAAAATGAGATGAATTTTCAATATTTTTTGAGGAAAAAAAAATTCTTGCCTCTCGGTACCAACTGCATACCATATGGTATCTTCTTCGTTTTTAATTCGTTTTTGAAAACGTTTGCACAGCAGGGACGAGTTCATCATGATCTACTGGATCTACAAATTTCTGGGTGAACAAATTACAGGACCAAAATATACCACACAATACCATACAATACCACCCTGGTACGGGGTGGTATTGTATGGTATCTTCTTCGTTTTTAATTCGTTTTTGAAAACGTTTGCACAGAAGGGACGAGTTCATCATGATCTATTGGATCTACAAATTTCTAGGTGAACAAATTACAGGACCAAAAAATACCACACAATACCATACAATACCACCCTGGTACGGGGTGGTATTGTGTTGTATACAATGTTAAAAGTCGTAAATTACAATTAATATACTTCTACTATCATGTATTCAATCATCCTACAGTTTGGTTTGTTCATACCACCATGGTACGTTTTTCAAAACATAGGTATGCTTTTATTTCAATACCAGTCAATACCATATGGTATAGGCTGGTAAAAAATGGCTCAATTTTTTTTTTGTTCGAAAAATATATTAAAGTGGATATCATTTTGAAGAGCACAATTAATCTGATCTAACTGTGCAAAAAAAAATTAAATTTCGACTTAAAATGAGCGAGAAATCGTCCGTCAAAGATTAAAGAGGGAAAAATTAAAGGCTTTCTATGAGAGAGAGGATGCTGATGTCATGCTGATGTGGACGAGTTACTCATGGTTACTCACCATAAGGTTACTGACCTGATCCATTCCCCTGAATCACTACCACAACCTTTATTAAACTAAACTCCCTCTAATCCTAGTATCCTACACAATATGAGCAAGCTTTTAAACAAAAGAAGCACAAATCCCTAATTAGCTAAAAACAGTAGAAAATTGGGGGAGAGAGGGGAAAAAGAATTTTATCATCATTTTTAAATTCCAAGGGGAATTAAATGAACATTGGGGTTGATGCACATTGTTTCCTCCAAAGTCAATAGCTGCCCATTAGAAGGTCCCTTGGTATTTGGTAAACATCATTGGAAAGTCATCTTCCCCACCCTAAACCCTAACCCCCATTTTTTATTAAACAAAAAATCACATATGATAGTCTAATTGGTGAATATATATTCATTCTCTCAGCTGTGTAATTAACAACAAAAAAATATTCTTTTAGTATTTGTGAAACCGAATCATGCTGGTGGTCAATTTGATAAAATGTTATATCCAATACTAAATCACAGTTGTAAGTCATATGAAACGTTGAACCACGATTATATCATAAGATAACCTACCACTAATTTTTTCGTTATAAATTCCGGTACGGTTTTACAATCCCAGCCACATACTATCCTAACTATTTATTTTCAATCATTAGTTCCAGCAAAATAAGTTATATACGTCAAAACTTAGTAAAGACATATCAAACTATTTATATGTCACCTATGTTAACAATTATTGATTTACCTCGTCAATCGGACATCAATACCTCAAATCTCCTCTCGTTCTTACCATGTATGAGTCAGTTCAGGTTTTTTACGAAATCATAACCCATTAGTAAAACTATATATAGACTAAGAAGTTGAGTTCTAATTCTACAACAAACTTCACAGATGAACTATTCGACAAAACACGATATGGTACAAGGACTATTTAGTAATAGAACTTTAACACAATAGAAGTCCCAATTGCATTCACATCTATCATCTTCTTGCAGTTCATACACTTAACACCACACTTGCCAAGTTTGAGTTATAATCCAATCCATCCATCATTTATTTCCCCTCTAGTATAGTACATTAGTTTCCTTATCTCCCCCTTTATATTAATCAAAATCCCTCACCAGTCATTGCCTTCCTGGCAACACTCTCTGTCTCTGCCCTCCTTCATTCAATTCCCCTACTCTTCCCTCTCCCCTCCAACATTTTGACCTGCCCTTTACTCCACTTCACTCCTCACCACAGTAAAAAAAAAAAGAGAGGAAAGCAATCAAAGCATGAACCTTTTTACCATTCTACCCTCACCCCACTTCCCATATTCTCATCCCCTACACACCCACATGACACCAAGGTCTCCACATTAACTCCTGCCATTCTTGGCCTTCTCTTCACTCTCCTTCTTCTTCCTCCCTCTCCACCATAGCTTAGTAAAGCTCCGACCTTTTCATCACTTCCTCCTTCTTCTGCTCTGCAGCTTCTCATCTACCATGCTTCATTCCCTTTCCCATAGCCTTACACCCAAATCCATGGATTGAGAAGTGGCTTTTATATTCCCTCCCCAAATCACACTCTCGCTAAAAGCTTCAACCTTTATGACTTCCTTTCTCCTCTTTTGAATCTCATCCTCCCACTATTGATTCACTCTTCTTCCCACAAAGCTTTGTACCCACAAACCATGGACTGGGTTTCCTTCCAAATCAAAGAAAGCTCCGTTCTTTCCACTCCCCAATTCCCACAACCGCCGCCCCCGCCGACACTCGCCGCAGCCACCTCCGGTGACGGCGGCGGCGCGTTCAACTTGGAGAACAAGGTGAGTCCAAGCATTCTACTAATCATAATAATCCTCGCCATCATCTTCTTCATCTCGGGCCTCCTCCACCTCCTGGTCCGGTTCATGATCCGACCCGGATCCGTGGCGGGCCGCCGCGGCGACCAGGACTACGAACTAGACAGCGTCACGGCGCTGCAGGGCCAATTGCAGCAGCTCTTCCACCTCCACGACGCCGGCGTCGACCAGTCCTTCATCGACACGCTCCCGATCTTCCTCTACGACTCCATCGTGGGCGGGCCCGCCGACAAGTCGGCGCCTTTCGACTGCGCCGTATGCCTGTGCGAGTTCGCCGGCGACGATAAGCTCCGGCTGCTCCCGAAGTGCAGCCACGCCTTCCACATGGAGTGCATCGACACGTGGCTCCTCTCTCACTCCACCTGCCCTCTCTGCCGGTCCTCCCTCCTCGCCGATTTCTCCGCCGCGAATCACGGCGGCGGGAACGGGAGCAACAACCTCCTCCCCTGTTCTCCGATCGTTCTGGTCCTCGAATCTGGCAGCGAGAGAAGCTCCCGAGAAATCGAAACGAATAACAACCACCTCGGAAGGACTAATTCCATCCTCAGCGCTTGCTCGTTAGTGGGTTACCAAGGGGACAACGAATCGGGCTCATGTCGGGTCGAAATTCCACCGCCGGAGGGGGAAACCGGATCCGGGTCGGGTCAAGACAGGGTTGTTCGGGTTAAATTGGGGAAGTTCAGAAATGTGGAAGGCAGCGGAAATGGAAGCGGTAGTGGCGATGATAATGTGAGGAGATGCTATTCGATGGGCTCGTTCGAGTACGTGATGGACGAGAGCTCGTCGCTACAAGTTCCGATTCGGTTTTCCCCTGCGAAGAAGAGGAAGCCGGCCGCCGGCGGTGCTCTGCACCGGCCTGCAATGTCGGTCTGCGGGTGCGAATCGGCGAGGGAGTTCGGCCGATTCGGCGAAGGGAACGCGAGCATTGTCCCGGCTGGGAACGGGGGCAGAGAAAGCTTCTCGATTTCGAAGATTTGGACGAGAGGAGGCAAGAAGAGTGAGGGAAAACAGGGGATTTCGGAAACAGGGGAGTTGAGTTCGAGGAGATCGGCAGTTTCGTTCAGGTTTCCGGTCAGCAGCGAATTGGGATTTTCCGGTGAACAGAGCTGCAGTGGTGGTGGGAATGGCGGCGAGTTGGGCGATGGAAAGACGCCGTCTTTTGCTAGGAGGACCTTGCTCTGGCTTGCCGGGAAGCAGAACAAGGTGGTTCATTCAAATTTCACATCAGATGTTTAGGCGTATGGGTGGCTATCACTTTTAGAAGTCCTTTTCCGGTTTGGATTTGGAATTTTTCTTTTTCATTAGCTTCCCTTCGTGTAATTCCTTGGATTCTTTTTCGGTTTTTGTCAATGGGGGAGATTTGTGGAGTGCATGGATTTGAGTAGTCATAGGGGAAAGACAATTTGATATTAGTACAACTAAAGCACAGTGAAAGATTTTAGGCAATTCATTTTTCTAAGGTATTTTCGTGTCTCGAATTTCACATAAACTAAAATGTTACGTCTAAAAGATAGATTATTATTTCTAAGGTAGTTTCTTATTGCGACATATTGTATTATTTCCTTTAGAAGATTATTATTCAAAATAGGTACAAATGTCTAATAGATGATTATTATTCATGTAAGAAACTAGAAGTTATCCTAAAAATACCACTCAAAGGTCGTTAAACCGCAACAAAATAATGTGTGTTCTTATAATAATGAGAAACATTGTCACAAATCCAAGAGAGAATTATATGTTTGACTATATCGTACTATTTGAGAGTTATAAAGTTGTAAATTATAGTTGTGTGGGGTAAAATTATTAGTTATGATATAATAAATAAGTAGAAAAATGAGAGTATATTCTAAGAAAACTGAGATGGAAAGAAAATGAAACAAGATATGCAGTAATAAGAAGATGTCTGCGCTCCTACATCCTGTTTTACTTGTTAGTTAGATGACCTCCTTCGTGAATCGATCGTGTCACATGGGTCGGATTAAAATTGTCACCATCGACACAGTTTCTTGCAATTAGACCAAAGCGAGTCCCTCATTTGTTATTGGGTTCTCATGTTCAAAATTAGGATGAGACGATAATTATGAATTCATTGCTAGTATGGTCTTGTTGTAAACTATAGCGAAGATGCTCTCCCTCATTCAATTCATGTTAACTTTTCTTTCTAGAGTGGTTGGGAGGGTTGAAAAGGGGAGGAAGTGTTAATTTATTCACAATAAAAGTGAGCTGCTTGCCATTACTGTTTGTGTAAATGAAGGTCAGGAAATGACGATTCAGATTTCAGATTCAAATAAATTCGACTGCATTAACTAGTTCAGGGGAACTTCCCTTTTTCTACTATTCAAGATGAAGGTTATATTGAGGGGAAAGAGAAGGGAGACTCTCGAACTTTGAAATCTAATCTTGCTGCGGCCATCCGTTGTCTCGATTACTCTATCTAGATTCGTAAATATCAAAGAGTTATACCACAACAGTTTGATGAACGAAGTGGTGGTCATCGTCCACGCTATCCGCTCAATGATATGATTGGATATTCGATACCTATTTCTTGTTAGGTCGACGAAGATGTCAGATTCCGAATTCGAGCTATGCATCTATACTTGATATCAAGAATTTTGTTGTGATCTTATCATCATCTTTCCCGACTCAAATTGGAATTCGATAAGAGACTGTGACTGATTCATAGACATTTCGATTGCTACGTACTTACGTTTCGTACATTTTCATAAATGAAATCAGAAGAAAAAGGGGTATGAGGAAGTCCATGTATTTCATTTATTACCATCGTAGAGAAATTGTTGATTGCTAGAGGGCTCCAACGACGAAGGTGGAATGTTCGAAAGAGATGGATCCTAGGTTTCGAAGTTGGTCAAGCAAGAGCTTGAAAGAAAAAAAGAAGAAGAAAAGCTTGGCCATGGATGGAGCACGGAATTAAGGGAAAGAAAGAGATGGATGGAAGAAAGCATAAGCCAAACTTGTTTTTGAAACGATGTGGCTTTCAAGTTACAATAATGGCTCTCATCTGACCATATTAAATGAAGAAGAGGGAAGTGTCAGAAGAAGAACCACCATGGTTAAAGAAAGAGCTAGAGCTCGAAAGGGAAATGGGAAACTACCGGAAATTGCGCTATGATTTTGCTAGTGTTTTGATATTGATATTTTGGGATGCATATTACCATTGATGGTTTGGGCTTGGATGGGGTCAACTGGTTGATTCCTGCTCTGGAATTTTACTATCGTTATTGTAGAGGATATCACTAGCAAAGTATGACAGTACACGTTTTATTTTGCTTTTAAAACAAATTTTGAACACCCTAGTGAAATTGTAGAGAATGTTATCATTTACCACATCCTCGATGTCCGACAATTCTATCTTCTGGAATACCAGTACGCATCCTTCTTTCGGATTAACAATTTTTTCACATACGGTGGAATTTTTTTTTTTACCGTCAAATTGATGGGAGATGCTAATTAATTAATAACCTCACGGGAGAACCGTTGGGGTTGGTGTATGTCACGCTTTAAATTTGGTGTGTCGTGACAACTAACACATCAATCTCTCCATATTAGGCCAAGTTAGTACGTTAACCATTCTTAATGGCTCATGTGGGTTCGTCGTCCCTACTAGACTAGTGGAGTGGTGTGGTTAAATAAACAACACATTGGTCCCCTTTCCTTTCATATCCATGTCAGTTTTCAGGACCTTATAATCGTGTGGGTTTTTGTCTATGGACATTTTTCTCTTCATGACTTTGTTGTATCCTTTTGCTCTCTGTATTTCTTAGTGTCTCTGTTGGGTTAGGACTATCATGGTGGCTACTCTCGAATAACATTGTTCACGTTTGATGTTTTCCCATTCAATAGAGTGATCAGAGAGGCTGGTAGCTAGGGTGGTGCTTGATACACAAGCGACAAAAAAAAAACCCAACAAATCCAAACGACAATAAGCATATTTTCTGATCGAAAAAAATACAACATGAATGAACAAAATATAGCAGAAAATAAACTCGGTGAGAGGCAGCCAAGGCCACCATAAAAACAAGGCTTAATACTTTAGTTTGGCCCGAACTATAGACAAACTTTCTACTTTGGCCCGTGGTATCGGAAATTGCTATTCTAGCCTAAACTATGTAGCATACTTTCTTATTTGGCCCGGAGGTGGGTTTGACCGTCAAATTAGACGGTCAACCGAGTTTACCGTTAGCCAAAGTCCACCTCACTTGCCACGTCAGCTATCAGGAAATATTTTTTTTTTTTTTGAATTTTTTTTGAATTTCTTAAATTAATTAAAAATAATTTGGAGAACTCTTTTTATTAATTTTCTTCGTTTATTATTTTTAGTGTTAGAAAATAAACAAAATTCAAAAAATTCAAAATTTAAAAATGAATTTTTTATTCCTTGATAGCTACCGTGGCAAGTGAGGTGGAACTTGACTAACGGTCAACTCGGTTGACTGTCCAATTTAACGGTCAAACCCGCCTCCGGGCCAAATAAGAAAGTATGCTACATAGTTTAGGCCAGGATAGCAATTTTCGATACCACGGACCAATGTAGAAAGTTTGTCTATAGTTCGGGCCAAATTAAAGTATTAACCCTAAAAACAAATGCATCCAAACACCCTCACGCAACCACCATACCGTCGAGGAAGCAACAAAGCATGAGTCGGCTCATCCGATGCAACCAGGACCATGGTATCGAGCAAAGCAAACAACCATAAGCCGCCTCCCGGAAACTATTCGAAGATAACTCAGCACAATGAATCTAAATATGAATATGGGTTGAACATGGATGAACCGAATTGCTCAGAGCTTACAGGGGCCAAGAGAAAACCCGGAGATAACAAGCCCGATTCAAAGAGGAGAGGGAAACCCAAGAGTTGGAGGTAAAGTCCACCCAAAAACCCAACAAGAAAATCAAAAGGGGGAAAAAGTATAATACACCACTTGCAAGCCCAACCCACAACAGACCCCCCAAAAACTAACGAGCAACACTCCAAGAAAACCACCAATGGAGGCCCACCCCGGAATATTGGCCATTGTCTCATATTGAGAGCTCCTCGCCGCCCGCTCCAATCTGCTCCATCCCTCGCCGCAGCAGCCACTGTCCGTCGCCCTCCGCATTCGCCGTCGAGGTTGCTAACGAATCTCCGTCGGTGAGTTTTCTGTTCCTTCCTCCCTCCCTCTTCCATTCAGTTTCTTTGGTTGCCCTGCCTGTAAAATCTCTGCTTAAGTAAATTTTACCTCAATTTGCGGCGATGATTTGACTGGGAAAGAGCTTGATAAACATAAGAGTCGACATAATAACTTCTACTAGTGAGTAATCTTATAGCTTTGATTCGCATTATTTGGTTAACCCTAGATCACTCATCTGCAAGAGCTAACAGTTCTAGTGCTGTGGACAACTTTAGAGATATTAACCTTCGACTTACCTATCTATCTTGCTATATATGCACAAGCATATGGAATAATGTGCTATCTGTTAGTAGTGGTATAAGCTCAATTATTGAAGCTTTTCTACCGACTCTGGTTGTTTGAACCAACTGGTTTTTGATATAGTATCAGAGTTTGCTGTAATCGAGAGGTCTTGTTCGAGTTCTATTGACCCGCTATAGGTAGATACTTGTACAAACTTCAATCCTATATGAGTGGTTTTCGTTTGAGATGATGTGTTAGTATATGGTATGAGTTACATTATTGAACCTCTCCGAGCAACTCAAGTTATCGATCGAGACCAACTGATTTGTAACACAGTGTTTAGGAAGCAGGTGAGTATGGCAGAAGCAGCAGCAGTTGAAATCGACAGGCTGAGCGATCTCCCGGACAACATCCTGCATCACGTTCTGTCCTTCCTCGACACTGTAACGATTGTCAAAACCAGCATTCTGTCTAGGAGGTGGAGATGCCTGTGGAAAGATGTTCCCGTCCTCTGTTTCCAGAGGAAGGGCTTCCGTTCAAAGCTGGGTTTCGAAGAACACGTGAACCGGATTCTGGCTAACCGATCCCACCATGCCACTGTCAGAGAAATTAGGCTGGACTACTATTCGAGCGGATTATCGTGGGAGGAACCAGACGCCAAAGTGTTTGATAGTGTCCTGCGATATGCTGCATCATCCCAGTCACCCGGTGGCATGATCAGTCGTCTTCATCATCTGTCGATCCGGAATCCACCTGTATTCGATTCCTTTTACAGACGTTTCACCGACGTAATCGCGTCCATCTGCACTCATCGCCATCATGAAACTCTCAGGACCCTCAATATGCACGGCGTGGATGTTGCATTAGTCCCCATGACTGCTGCTTCAGGATTTCAGATGCTGACGACTCTGCAACTGCGTAGCTGCGAATTTCATGATCCTGATCCTTTTGGTGGTTTCCCTTGTTTGAACCACTTGAAGCTCTTCAACTGCACATCATCACCGAGTGGCTTCGCCGTGTTGGGACCTCACCTGGTGGACCTGGAAATCGACAGCCCATTCCTCTCAGTCTCAGATGGGTTGATTCGAGTTTCTGCCCCGAAGCTCAAATCTTTCCGGTTCGAAGATCAGAATCTACGTTCTCGAGGCTACCCGACGCTAGACCTTCCTGCCTTGGACCACGCAACCATCCACTTTCATTGGCATGAATACCTGCTTGTTGCACCGGGTTGCCGTTCGTATGTTTCGAGAGAAGGGTCTATTCGTGCACGCCTCAACTTGTTTGGTGATTTGCATAACGCTGAATCGCTCATCCTCTGCTTCGACAGCTCGACCGAGGTAAGTATGTCGATGATGATTATGAAGTGTGTGCTCTGATAATTAACTCGTGACAGGCCATGAATTTCGTGACATTGAAATGTGACATACTCTAGCTAGCTTCATATTATGCACTCGAGAATGCTTGCACGTTTGTAATAGTTTGATGATATCTCTTGACCGCTGATTTTGTTTCCTCCTCAGATTACGGATCAGAACTCTCCTCTTACCGAATGGAAGTCCCCATTAATGGAGCGTGCAGCCTCTCCCTTTACCAGATTGAAGGCTTTGAGAATGCAGTTCAAAAAACCTTCACCAACGCTAAGCGTACCGAAAGAAGTGATTCGATACTTTTTCGGCGACTCTTTCAACCCACTTAACAAGTCCGCCATAATCGAAAATATGGACAACCCATTTATCCATTGATCATTTTGACCTTAGCTTTTCACCATACCTTTCATCTTCTTGATAAGTACAATATTGTGGAGTTTGCTCCATTTTTCTTTCTCTTGATAACAATTTGGTACCCTTCTAACAAGGAAATAGAACTGTGCACACTGTCTTAGGGCTGGTTTTTCTTGTTCTTCTGCTTGAGCCCGATTATGTTGTTTGGGCTAGAGCCCAAAAAAGAAAACATGAACCAAAGCCACCGACTGTGCATCCCCTGGTAGTGGAGAGTATAAACCCTAGAAACCCTGAAGCCTCACTACGGTTTCTTGATTGTCAAGTAACAAAGAAATCTAAGATCAACAGACATCAATGCTCTTACCGTCCAGTTTGTGTCTTTTGTTCCGACCTCAACAAGGTGATTGGTTCTTGTGGGATCTTTCTGCTGCTTCCTAGGTTGATGTTTCTAGATATTTTATCGATCGTCTTGACTGTTTTAAGATAGGTAGACAGTGAGAGAATCGCTTTAGGAACAATATCAAACTCTTTCGGGTTCGTAGTCTTTGATTGCTCTTAGGTTGTTTCTGTTGATGGAATTCTGAAAAGACCAGCCTAAACCTCTTCCTTTTTTTCTCCCTTTTGATTCTCCCTGTCGCTTTTCCTTCCTCTCTTGATTTCATACAACCTTACTACTATTTCCTATGAATGACCATTGATTGAAAGGATTTGAATTGTCATTCAATTAGTCAATTCAGGAATCAGAGGGTTATGCTGGGAGATAGATTGTGACCATTGACATTAGAGTTCAATTTCACCTTGGAGAGTAATGTTGAGAGCTTATGTAAAAGAGTGTGCTGGTAGCATGGGATTGATAGTATTTCAAGGCGAATTTGTAAGGCTATTGCATGGATGGGACATTGTGGAGTGGAATTAGCAAGATGATGACGAGGCATCCAAAACTCAATAACGTAATTTTAGTCGGATGAGTTACTACAAGGATGAAGTACTACTATTTACCTTTGGTACAAGGACATCCATTGAAGTCACTGTCTTCAAATCATAATTGAGCCGAGTGTAGAAGGTTTTGATTCCTAAAGCGTAGTTGTAAACAATAACCGACTTCTTGAGCTTTAACATTGTCGAATACCTTAGTTGATGATCAACAAAATTTGTTATCATTATCCGGAAGAAAGATGTTCCAAGACCACCTCCAACCGACCAAAGGGAACTCTAACAAACGAAACTTAAGACAACCTTTAACACACCCTCATATTTAGGTATTTGAAAATTTGGTGAATATTGGTGTTCCAACTCATGAAAAAATAGGGTTAAAAAATGAAAATTTGAAAGGAAATGAGGAAGGGTTGACCAAATTTGAAGGAAATAGAGGGAGCTGGCCATATTTTGAGAGGGAGAAGAAAGGGATACACGAGTAAGAGGATGAGCGGTGCGCCGGCGCCCGTTTATGCACAGGAGCAAGATTCGGGGAAGATTAATTTCTAGAATTTAGTTTTCACCAATATCTCAAAGAAACTATTTGGAAAGTAAACAATGAATTGATTTCTAAATAGATTGTAAATTATATCACCAATATGTTTATCTGTGCCACCTACAATATATATGGTACCTTGTGAACATATTATATATGTAAAGAATCATTAACTTTGCATGGTAACATTTGAGTTTCACAATTTATGGGACATGTAAATTTCACATTGTATGCATGTACCTTACCATTCTCTCACAATCTAAAGCATGTTGTTCATTTTCAATTTAGTGACACACATAGACACTTATCTTTGGGGTCATTAACAAAATGGTCACTTATATTTTATTTTTAATAAATTAGTTTTGCACTAGCTAACATAATGATAATTTAAATAAATCAATAATTTAGTTTTGCACAGTTTCACATCCATTGAATCCTCATCAATATCACTCGTATAATATTTGAAATAAGGATCTAACCAAACCAGACCTAGAATATAATCTTTTGCTATGTTTAGTTTGATCAAGGTTTTGAGTTGTAATCGTTGGGCCAAGTTATCAGAAAAGACCAAATCCTAATTTGTATTAATCTCTCCAGCATTTTCAAAACGAGTAATTTTACAATGCTTTAAAGCATTGGTGTTTTAGTTTTTTGTATTTATGGTACAACTTCAAGTTGGGGTATCTATATTCTTTTGTATATATCTCTTTATGGTACAAACTAAAGATGTACATTATGTTATGGTACAATTTGTAATTTGAAGTTGTATCATAACATAAAGGTCCAAATTCTCTTATGGTACAACTTCAATTTGTATCTTAACGTTATGGTACAACTTAAAATAGTACTTTGAAACACCAATGCTTTAAAGTATAGTAGAATTGCTATTTTAACACTGCTACGGTATACTCAGTAGTGAGTCCAGAGAGAGGAGAGTTGATGCTCTTAAATCTGACACGAAGTCGAGGAATTACAATATTTTCTTTGATTCATGCAATGTTTTTGCGTTTCTATTAAGGTTCATTTAGAATGTACAAGGGAAGCTTCATTTATAACCGTCGAGATATGTACGCTCTCAGCAATCATGTGTTGTGTATAAAAACTAATAACTCGAATATATATATGGTGACTACTTCTGTGCACTCACAAAAATGAGTGCGTTCAATGCACCCAACTCAAAAACTAGTTTTAAGGTGTCAAATTCTGAATATTAATTTGGAGAATTAGTGTAATATGATGATATAACATTTGATCACAACAAATTAATGGATTACCCTAAGCCCCAGACCTCCAATTTCGAATTATATTCCTAAACCCCAAATTATAAACCCTAACCCTAAATCTCTAAAGTCTAAATCCTTCAAATTAAAGTACATCTCGAAGGATTTTTGTGCGAGTTCATGTGCTTTATCGTTCATCACATCTTAAGTGATGATTGACATCATTTTGACATGAATCACATGTTTACAATAACGGTTATGAGGCGGGTGCATTGAATGCACCCAAAAATCTAATAACTTCAAAAGACTAAAATGATTGACATCATTTTGTCATATATATATGGTTATGTCTTAGGTGCACTCACTTTTTTGGGTGCATTCAATGCACCCGGCTCATAATCGTCATTCTGAGCAGGCGATTCATGTGAAAACGATGTCAATCATCACTTGTGGTATGATGAACAAGAACCACATGAATTTGTACAAAAATCATTCAAGATTCGCTTTAATTTGAATGATTCAGGGTTTAGGAATTTAGGGTTAGGGTTAGGGTTTATAATTTGAGATTTTGGGTTGAGATTCAAAATTGAAGGTTAATAGGTTAGAGTAATGAGTTGATTAGTTCGGATTCTATGTTATATCATCATATTAGACTAATACAACCCATTAAATTCCAAAATTTAATGTATTATGACCACTTTTAGATGTGAGTGCACTTAATGCACCCAAAAAAGTGAGTGCACCGAAGTAGCCACCTATGGTTATGTCTTAGGTGCACTCACTTTTTTGGGTGCATTCAATGCACCCGGCTCATAATCGTCATTCTGAGCAGGCGATTCATGTGAAAACGATGTCAATCATCATTTGTTACAAAACCATAGGTTTTTGTTAAAATTTAGCACGATCTTCAAACAACAACAACAATAATAATAATAATAATAATAATACAAAACCATAGGTTTTTGTTAAAATTTAGCACGATCTTCAAACAACAACAACAATAATAATAATAATACAAAACCGTAGGTTTTTGTTAAAATTTAGCACGATCTTCACCTTAACTAGGAAATAAAGTTTATGAAGGTAATTCTTTTGACAAATTCCTCACGTGGACCCTTTTAATCAACTCAATCCGCTGCCCCGCTTGGAGGTGAAGGACAAGCTTATTTGGGTGGAGGATTCGTCGGGTGTTTACACGGTCAAGTCGGGATATCATCTAGCATTCCGTCGGAGGCGCCGGTGGGCTAAATGGAAGGAGGATGTTAGCTGGATGGATTTAAAGCTGTGGAAGACCGTTTGGTCGTTGCAGGTGCAACCAAAGCTGAAATTCTTTCTTTGGCAGATTTTCAGTCGTATTCTGCCCACTACGGAGGCTTTACTCGAGAAGGAGGTTGATGTCCTGGGGCGTTGCCCGGTTTGCTGGGCGGAGCTGGAGTCTTTGGAGCATCTTTTCTTTCTTTGTCCGGTGGCGAAGGAGTTATGGGAATGCGGTGGGGTCCTGGGGCTGACGGATGGTCTGGATGGTGCTAACTTTGTGGTTTTCCTTCGGCGGGTCTTGGAGCGGGTAACATCGGAGGCCATGATGTGTCGGGTGGTGGCGGTTTTGTGGCGCATTTGGAAGGCGCGTAATTGGGTGGTTTTCGAGCTTAAGCAGGTCCATAGAGCCGTTCTCAGGCAGCAGCTTCTGCATCAAATTCAGGAGTGGGAAAGGGTGCTTGAAAGGGAGGGGGTTGGAGGGCTTGCTGATCCGCCAGTGCAGGGGGGGATGGGGGGGTTGGCTGGAATCGTGGGGGAGCTGTCGTGTTCTTTTGATGGTGCGGTTTGTGGTCAGTCGCATGCTGCAGTGGGGATAGCTATCCGGGATGCAACGGGAGCCGTCGTGTTGGCGAAAGGGGAACGTTTGGATGGAGCGTTTGAGCCAGCGGTGGTGGAATTGATAGCTATCCGGGATGCAACGGGAGCCGTCGGGAGGCTATGTACTGGTGCATTATGAGGGGCTGGGGATCAATGCTGTTTTTGGGGGATGCTAAAGCTATAATTGATAAGGTGAACGCGCTGGAGGTGCGGGACGCCAAGGGTGGAGCAATCCTTCAGGAAGTCAGGGCTTTTCGGCATATGTTCCCGGGGTATAGAGTGCAGTTTGTGGGTAGGCAGAACAATAGGGTTGCCCATTTGGTGGCAAGGAAGGCCCTAGATTTGTCGGCTAGTGCTGTACTTGGTTTTGATTTTTGCGCTTGGCTCAGGTCGGAGTTGTAAACGTTCGATCTATCTTTCTCTTGGTAATGCAAGCTATCTTTGGTTAAAAAAAAAATCAACTCAATCCAACTAGTTTCATCTAGCAATGTCAATGCAATGAGCAGATCCGGGGTGAGTATTTCGATACCCATACCTATCCTTATCATGATAGGTCGGATTATTTATTAAAAGATGCGGATCGAACAGGTCGACCCATATGAGTAAGTGATTCAATAGAAAAACATTAAAAATATTCATTATTTTCATTGAAACATAAAACAAACAAACAAACTATAATATTATAAATGTAGTTAAATAATTTGAGAGGTTGGTGTTCTCTCATATTTACAACTTCATTAATCATTATAACTAAAATATAAGGTAATAAAAGTAAAATTCTAAATAACTTAAGAAAAATTAGATGTAATTTAAGCAACAACAGGTCGAGAATGGAGCGGGTGATGGCAGGTTAGATGAGAAGAGTACCCATGCCTACTCCCACCAAAAAACAGGTTAGGTCAAAATTGTCATCCCTAATTAATAATTATATCCGAGTATATGACCAATACACCCATCTGGCATATCCTCAATCCCCCTAATGAGGTGATACTTCTTGAACATGTACATCTTTAGGTGAAGGCAACTATATGATCTGTAACCTTGTCCACCATGACTAATATTTTACTTTCGACATTCATAGTATTGACTGTACCGACAAAGAAGAGTAGCCTTACCTCCACTCCCCGTTGCTCAAATGTCATACAGATAACTATCCACGGTCGATAGATCGGATACAACCAAACCAAACCGAACCGAACCAAAATTGGCAGTAACCTAGTTCCATTAACTCAAATCCAGCAGATTACAAAGACTTGCCCGACCACCTTATCCTTAAGAGCCTCTTTTTTCACAAACCGTACACAGTTTGCCTAGCTGTACATATCATCCATCCTATAATGTGACCGTGTAATCACTTTCGAACAGCTCACCTGGCAAAGACAAAGTTGGAAAGTTGTCCCAATTTTCAAATGTCAAGTCCATTGGTAAACATGATCTCATTTTTAGCCTCTCTGCCTACTACAACTGGACCCAAGTTGTCCTGCAATTAGGGGACCTCACTCACAGAACCCATAGCCACATTCTCTGAACATGTTCATCACCATGTACCCTTTTCCACACTCCTTCAAAGAGCAACCTCTTACCCCATAACCCTGGAAATAAATTGTTGCCTGAGGAGGGAAAAAGGAACCATCCCCTGCATTGCATTGTCAAGTCTTGTTTGTTGGGTGGTTTGGAGACCTGTTTGTCCTCAAGATTGATGAGACTGAGGGGGTTCAGTTGCATAGTTTAGATTGGATTCAAGACAATTGGATTCATTGCATGTTAGAGTACGAGTGAACTGTTGGTGGTTTTTGTCCATATAGTAGCATGATTTGATTTGACCAGACAGGGAAGGTTTTGTTTCCCAGGAAGTAGATTGGGCATGTGTGGTTCTTTTGCAAATAGAGAATCATGGGATGGATGATTACTTACTTGGAGACAAAACTCTTTGGGATTGAGGGTCCAAGTAAGTACTACTACAAGCTATAGATATTGTTGAGATGAGTGTTAATAATTTCATTTAAGTGGTCACCAAATTCACAACACATATATTAGCTATTTGATTTTGATGGGCTAATTATCTGTGATCAATACATGGAGCCTATAATTATTCAAACTCGATATGAGTCCAATAGGTGGAAACCCAATACTTACTTACGTTGACCAAGACTTTCTCATCTTCTCCCCATCTGGTTGGTGAGAGCTCTCTCATAGAGGAACTGAGGCGGCTTGGTTGAAGAAGACCCCAGAACCTCCCTGGTCGTGCACCAAGTCGCATAATCCGGTGATCATCCAATAATTTCCACATTCAGCTCCAGACGATCAACATGAATTCAAAATATCCAGCTAACCTTTGATAATCTTACAAGATGAATTCCAGGGAATTGCATATGTTATGTTAATTCTTTCAATGAGATATTTTAACATGGATTGAATTAGAAGAGAGAGTTGATAGTTATATCTTTAATCACCTGATCAACTTTTCGAGACCGAGATCTTCGACGATGGTTTTGCTCCGTGGAGTGCGAAGTTCTAGCCCGTGAGTCAAATCCATATATCAAGGATTGTAACTGAGTGGGGCTGAAAAGAAGCTCCAAGATTGTAAATATGTCCATGCATTTCCAGCTCCATGAAACTCTGGCAGGCCCATGATATCCAATCCTGGAACCAGTCAGAATCAAATTCCTATCCATTGTTCTTTCACAAGATCACAAATATATATCTTCTCTATAGGTTTCCTTTCTTTCAAAAGCCAGCTAGCCCAAGCCATGCCATGGCCATTCCTATGCTTTTAATGGCTACCGAGCAATCAAGCTCCATTAACTGCCAAAAGGACTGCCTCCTTTTCATTCTCCCACTTTGGGAGCTAGCTAAACGCCAGCTTGCTAGAGTAATTTCATGGGTTATGTATAATATGCCCCTTTACTATGACGTTTTATCAAACATGTCCCTCTACTATTTTTTACATCAAACATGCCACTGTAATTTGGAAAAATTATCAAACATACCCTTCAGTTGAAATTTCCATTGAAAAAATCGTCAATCATGGTTGAACCGAGATTTAGACGACCTGACATTGATAAATGGGAGGGGAAATGTCAGTTTGATCCTTGTTTTATTTCTCTAGGTCTCGTCAAAGTGAAATTATTAGAATGATTTGGCTATACAAAAGAACAAAAAAAACTCTAAAGTGAAATTATTAGGGATATTTTAGATATTTGGGTCGCCCAAACCAAAATTCGGTCTTGGTTAACGATTTTTGGATGAAAATTTTAATTAAAGGGCATGTTTGATAAGTTTTTCAAAGTACATGGGCATGTTTGATGTAAAATATAGTAGAGGGGCATGTTTGATAAAACGTCATAGTAGAGGGGCATATTATACCTATAACCCTAGTTTCATTGGGTGTATTTTGAAGGCTGATTTATGTAATTAAATAGTTATATTTTCTCATTTTAACGTAGTCTAAGTGTATTTGATGACTAAGTGTATTTGATGGCGGAAACTAATCTATAATATGACGAAATTTTACAATCCTATATATATGATTTTGCACAGGTGCATAATATGTTATGGTTAAAGCATACATTAATATTCAGGATTATTAAGATTCCAAACACTTTCAATAGTTAAACAATTGGTATTGTATTACAAATATATCGAACCATATGCACCCGATTTCCAAATTCACATTTGCATCCAAAAGTTTGTGTCTTATGCTCAAGCAAGAAGGCTACCTATTAATTTAAATTTGGCACATGTTAATCATATTCATATGTTAATCTTAAAGCATACATTAATATTTAGAATTGAATAAATTCAAAGACAATCTCTTAACCACTAATATTAAAGATATCAGAAGTCTATCTACAAATATACCAAAACATAGACAACCCGAATTCCAAATTCTCATTTGTACTCAAAATTTATGTCTTCTGTTGAAATTCCTCTTCACAATTGTCTTATGCTGAAACATAACTTAAGCAAAATCCTGTAGAGTTTCCACATCAAGACAAAAACTTACACTTCCCATCCTTCTCCACCCTTAAGAAAGTCCGGCAACAACCTTTGCCCCCATGTCTCTCCCATCCCCCCATGCTCAGAAACTCTGTAATCTTGTCCCAACTGATGGATACTCAATCCATAAAGCCTATATAAACCCCTCTCCGAAAAAGCGAAGAACATCCAACATATTCTAAGTTCAATTCGCAGCAGTTCTCTCCTCTCTACCCATGAAAGAAAGTAAGATGATGAAGAGCAAGACCACCGAGAAGAAGAAGAAAGCCAAGGAGCTTGAGGTCGTTTCGATCCGTCGAAACATCCGAACTCTGCAGCAGATGATTCCAGGATGTGAGGAAGAGATTGAGGTTGAAACCCTGTTTCAGAAATCCATTGATCACATCCTGAAGCTCAAGTCTCGAGCTCAGCTCCTCAGGGATCTGTTGAAGCTCTGCGATAAGTGAGACTTCCATGGGGGCACATTTGCTAATTAAGTGGATCTTTCTAAGAAAGATGGTAGCTTCTTCCATGGTAATTTGGAGAAAACATGTCCTGTATTTCTGAGTTTCTGCTTCTTCAATTGATGAAGCTTTTCAATAAGTTCAAAGCTCACTCTTGAAAAGGTTCTTTGGTCGAATTTGAACAAAGTTTGTACCTATTTCAATAATTCAAATGATTTGGGATAAACTAGTTCTTGATAACATCGTTTGTCATTGTATTTAGTCGTAAATCGATCACTTTTATCATGGATTGTAATAAAAAAAAATTTCCCGGTTAGTAGATAAGAAAAGAATAATTGTTTTGGAGAATATAGGTTTTTGACGAGATATGAAACTTGTTATTACAACGTTAAGTTTAGACAAGATATATATGAATTATAGTTTACAAAACCCCAAGAGGCACATAGACAAAAGAGGAAGAAAGGGAGCAAATGTTCACAAATCCAACTAGATTGACTCTCAATTTTTGTAGAATTGGAGCTCATATTTGTTATAGGAATTAGAAGACAGAGCTAGCATATGGTTAATGGCCGTAGCCCATGTCTTGTAACGATCATAATCATCTCCCATGTCCAGCTTAATCGTGCCTTCATTTGTCGACAATACGATGATGTAACAAGTGTCAGTCTCTTGTGCACCTTGAGCCGGATCTCTGTATAATTCGGCATGAATATCCAGCACAATGCCTGAAACCAAAAAAAGAGGTTGAGATTTGTTGCATGTTATCCTCAACAGCTTAGTAGAAGTGAAAAAGATGGGACAGTGAATGGAAATGTGAAAGGTAAAAAGAGACTTACTTTCTTTTTTGGTTCTAAACAGATTCAACTTTCTCATTCTTAGGACAACCTTGGATTGGTTGTTAAGGATGATTGAAATCCATCTCACCCTGAAATCCCCTGTTGAAACAAACAACAACAAATTGAATCAGTATGAATGGTAGTAAAGATTAGGAAAACATGTGTGGAAACATGGGGGATAAGTTACCATCTGGTGTTTCCACATGAAGCTCTGAGCCAGAGGCAAGCATAGATCTGTACTTGTTGAAGTCGAGATCAAGATTATCATCATGATGATCATGATCATGGCTGTCTTCAATTGGAAGCACAGGAGCACTGCCATTGAATCTGTTCTTGCATTCTGTTCTAGCTTTCAGTGTAGCTGCACCTTTCAGTGCTACCGTTTTCAACCAAATAAAAGTTCAGATTATGACAAAATCAAACAGTCACATCCCTAGCAAATGAAAGAGAGCAACATTTACATGTAGTGGCAGCAGCTGTAAGTGTGAGGATGTCACTTGCACCAGTACCACTCATGGCTGACCCAAGAACACTGCTGAGATCATCCTTCTTGGCTCCCATGGCTTCTGCGAATTTCGCGCATTGTGCAGCCACCAAGGCTGCAGCGTTAGCCAACGCTTCTTCGTCCCTTGGATCGATCTTCTCGTTCGTAGAACTCCTTGATTTCCCAGCAGCAATTGCAGCCAGAGCAGCTGCCAGCCCTGCCACTGATATGGCTGCATGAACCTCAGCTCTCTGCAGTCTGTCCTCCTCCTTCCTCTTCAATTTCATCTCCTTCAGCCATTTCTTGATTGATATCTTGAACAATGGACCCACCTTCCATGTCACCTGGAAGTTTCATGAATTGGGTTTTGAGAAAAGTTTGATAAAGTTCAATTCTTTATGCATAATTCTCACATATAAAGGTTTGACATTGCCTACCCATTTCTTCCTGTTGTAGTTTAGTTCAGGGTGCATTGCTTGTTGCATCCATATCCATGACTGTGATTTGATCAATATGACCCCAAAACAAGAAAGGATTAAACTTTGATCTAATCAAATCTTAATCTTGGTTATAGACCATATAATCAAATTTGAAGTATACTTACTTTCATATCATTGGACTTCCATGGTGGCAAGGACTTGGGCTCTGGATCATCCATCTTGTCCATGTTCTGACAAATCAAAGGGGAAACTGATCATAAGCAATTTTCCTTTCTTGTACAAGAAGAGGTTTTGTTGCAAAGAACTTACCAAGAAGGCAGGAGCTAGCACATCGCGATCGAATTTGATGAGAGGTTTGTCCATGGCGCCGAAGATGGAGGAGGTTACGTCGTTGTCTCGTGGAAGCTCGGCTGGTTGGAGAGTTTGGACCGCGAAATCGCACCATGCCCTCGAGAGGAAATCCATGGTTTCAGGATGTGCCTCAGAGGGAACTATTGCTGTAGTTGTAGTTGTTGGCATATTGGGAAAGCTTGGGGACAAACTCAAATTCTGTAGAGAGGCTTTCAACTAAACATACACAATGTTGAATGAGATGTGTCTTAGAGTGATCACCCAACTATTTAAGATATAAATAAGACCCTTTGGAGTTAATCACCATCAATCATCATAATTTGGGTTGCAAGCATATTAGAGGGGGACCACCCAAAAGACATCTAGGCAAACAGCGAACCAATGAGGCGGTGCCATGTGTCGCGAACTCAAATCATGAGCATTGGTGGGAAATGGGAATATTGATCCATGTTCCAATTAGGCTTTCTTTTGGGATGATTATCTCTATATGAATTAAAATGTGATATATGAATGGCCTTGAATGAAATGAGACCCATGTTTGGGGAGAAAAGAAGTAAAGGGTTTGGACAGATGAGATAGAGAACAGCTTGGAAAGGGGAGAATGTTGAGGAAGGAAGAGGATATGTACATATGGATTTTTTTAGGGACCTACTTGGGAATGGGAGTGTAAATAGAGGAGCAGATTTTGATTTTTTTCAGAGACAATTTTCTTAGCACAAAAAATTTTGTTGGGAGGGAATAATGATATATGCTAATGCGTGCATACTCACACATGCTGGCCACTGTGGGAGCAAAGGGTACTATGCATAATAAAACCTTCTTATGAAAGAAGAAAAAGAAAAGAGAAGATAATGCACAAAAGTTAGATTTGAGTTTTTGATCTCCTTGGTTTCAAGCAATAAGGAGATTGTTCTAGGGTGTGTTAATGCTAAATACCAGTTGGTTTCATTGGCTTTGCTTCTTATATTGGTTTTCTTTTTCTAGTTATTTTCTATATGATATGCTTAAATTATGTCCACTAGTTTAGTCATTGTTCACAATTAGTTTCCCACCAAAATTATAGTTTTTTTTACTGAAAATTATAGTTGAAGGGAAGTCTATTAGTTCAGACAATATTATGGATCGTTTTGAGTTCTCTTTCTTCAATAATGAAACAATACAAAGACTTAAATAATGTTGTCTCATTTATTGCTCTTCTTTGTTTACACGAAAAATAGATTTCGATACATAATCAAGATTCAACTCATCTTGATAAATTGGGTTGTCAAAGACATGGTCAAATATCTTAATAACCATACTCTTAAAAAAGATTAACCAACAAATATCTTAACTCAAATTGAAAGGACTTGAAATGAACATTAAGGACAAGGGTGTTAAAGAAAGCTTATTGAACAAAAGGATAGGGTGTGCCATTGAAAGAGAGCTGTCTAGGGGGCCAAACTATAAGAAGAGAAAAGTTGGCAAAATGGTTGGAGGAAGGAAGGCCATAATGGCCAAGCATGCTACTTGAGAGATGGCAATTCTTTTTTCTTCCTTTTGTGAAATGAAAGTGGACAAAGAATGATTGATGCTATAACTTACTATGGCAAAGAAGAGGAACAGAGGAAATATAAAACAAGTGTTCTTGTTGTATGTTGTTATGTGGGTGATGATAAAGGAGGTTTTTAAAGATTAAACCATAGGGATTGATGCGATACTTAACTTTTTACTGATGTGTTTTTTTCCTCATAACGAGAATTATGATGTTTATGTTTGACGTTATGTTATACTATGTGAATATTTGATAAATTTATGAAAGTATAAAATTCAGACTTATTAATATACTATCAGATTTTTTCATTGATTGATAAGTTATGAGAATTGAAATGAATACACCATGGTTCTCTTTTATTATGATCTAGTTATAATTGAAATAGGGTTTTGTTGATTTGCTTTTGCTATGGGACTTATGATTAGTGATTTAGCTCTTTAGAAAAGATGTTAGGGAAGCTTGTCCTCCTCCTCCCTTTATGTTTTGTTCTTCTTTTTGGTGGTGATTATATTGTAGTTTACGAGCGTGCTCAATAGAATCATGTGAGGGACAAGACATAACGATTAAGAAAACCACAAAACATGTTTTGATTAGATTCTATATTGCATTTGTCGTTAATTAAAAATCTGGTTAGAGAAAAGATAGAAGAGAAAGTACACACAATTTTGATTGAAAAATGGAAAAGATGTTTGTTACTTTTTAATCCAGGGGCTAGGATCAATGCATGGAGTATCTGTCCTCAATTGTTGGCGGAGAATTATAGAATTGATGGTAACCGGTGGCTTTGCAGAAAAGTTGTAGTTTGTTTAGTTTTGGTAGCTACCTTTTATTCTTTCCCCTAGATGTCTTTTATTATTTTTAAAATTTTTTTTATAGATATATTTCAATGGTTTGACACGCTTAAATGTGAAGTTAAAATAAATTAGAAATAGATCGATGGGTGAAAAGAAAATTAGTAACAAGTCCAAGATATTTTCGATTTGGTTCAGTACGATCGGTTTCTTGCTTCTAAAGGGAGTCGTGTAGTTAGAGCAAAATATTTATAACTCTGAGCAACCAATTATATATAATCATACTAACTGTGATCCTATGTCCTAACCAAAAGGTAGGGGTCAAATAGATACATGTAAAGGGACGATAATGATTGAAGCCGAATCATCGTTAAGAGAACATTTTTTACAACGACATAGAAAATATTTTGATATCCTTCTAGTATTAACAAAATTCACGACTTAACGAATACCCTTTACCGGAAGAAAGTGATGGACCCATTCATGTCCCGGGATCAATGTTTCTGTTCATTTTGGGTTAGACCACATTGGGTCGATTGTCGTGACTTAGAAGAGTTCACGCTGGGATTTTGGGCCGTTCAAGCCCAATCTTTGTATACTGTTTTTGTGCCGTAACTAAACTAGGATTGGTACCCGCCCACCAATACCACAAAGTCACACATGAACCCATCGAGCTTCAGAAAAGAAAATGGCCCAAATTTTGTGTCACAACAAAAAGGACAGAAGAGAGAATACGAAGAAGAACATCTAACAAGATCAACCAAAAATTCCTACATCTATATGTTTTGGGTGCTGAATTTTTGTGGCTCTATATGTTTTGTCTTGTCTCAAATTCTTTCCTTGCTAGCTAGCTTCACGCTGCATAACTTTCCATTTCCTAGTCGAGGAAGCCTAGCTAGCTAGCTAGCTAACATTGGGGAACATGTATTAATTTGGAGTTTGGCTACAAGCTTCCATAAAAAAAGAGGGAACGTAACAAAAACAGAAATGCTCAATCCATTTCCGTTGTTGTGAGAAATCTAGCGTACTAGATATGATTTGGTGTTAGTCAGTACCAAAAACCCGGGTTTTGGGTTGTTGAGAAATCGATCAGATTTGGTTAGTTGTAGTTGTTATTGTTAGTTAAGGGTCTCGCGGAATACGCTGAATTTTCAAATGTATAATATAATCTGTTGAGGTGATGAGATATATGGATATCTAGCCGAGTGTGGTTATGCACTGATGAGAGAGGGAATCGATCTCTTAGTAAGAGGTGTACACTAGTACCTTGGCGAGTTTAGAAACTCTACTCGACCCAAAGGCCCGTTCACTCCAATGTAGCACAAGTCTTACAATCGCTCAACCTAAAAGTTAATGAATGAATTACAAAATGTTGCTCGAAAGATCATGTATCTGAATCCTAAAAACCACTGCACAACTGTATGATGAAGTTGTGGATTCCAAATTTCAGTTAAACTTCCATTTGAGCAAAAGATTCCTCGCCAACCCGAGTTTTTTTGGGAAACAAATTCTCTCAAAACCACCTTCATCCACAATGATGATCAAAGGTACAACAATCTAATCCGATGCAAGAAACGATCATTAAATAATTAATTTGAAGTAGTAGTACCTTACATATATTGGCCGGGTGGGTTCATGCTATAGCTAGGTAAGCTCATGTATACGTTTATATACATAAGGAATCGACAAGACACATTCATTTTTTCATTGGAATAGGCACATGAGAAGGGATTATGTCATTACGTGCAATTTAACATGGATACATTGATTATCCCCACTTTATTATTTCTTCACGTACCTCTCCATCTCTTGTCACCATCACACGATATGAATTCATGTAACCATGTTAGGAAATAGGAGGAGGTCTCTCTCTCTCTCTCTCTCTCTCTCTTTCTTTCTGATCACATACACATATTTTGATGACGGTTTTTTTGCCCCCTTTCACCGGTTTCTGTTATAGAGAAAGCATTAGAAACCAATAAACAAACCTTTCATTGTTCTATCTTATGTCACACGACCACCACCACCATAATGCATATACCAGCCATTTTCGACCTTCCATTATGTGCTTCAATAATGTTACATTGCGTAGCTAAGGGCTATTGGTCCAAATGGGTAATTGGATTTTGAAATCCTCCTAACGTTTTGTTTTCCATGATTTCAGCTACACATGGTACACACATACATCAACCCCTTAGCCAAGTTAATTAATAATGTGCATGTGTCATCCAACTAATGGAGCGTTTGAGATATCCCAACTCGCTAAAAGTTTGAATTTTGGAGATTACTTATTACTTAAGACTTGTACGTAAAATTTTTCTTAAACATGTACAAAACAGTACGTACTTAGTGTTCAGACTACCAATCGATCTCTCTGAAGTGATATTATATAGGTAGAAAAGATCAACACGCAAAGACACATACTTTAACATGATGTTGTGTTAGATCACAGGGGGTCGGTATACTTCAGAGGAATCATATATAGTCAATCTTACTAAACAAACCATGATCATAACTAACCTCATATACAACATGACCAAATAACCCTAATTTTGAATATTCAATAGACCTTTGACGATTAAAGAGGTAGGAAGAATGTGATCCAACCAAATTATGGGGTATCACCATAACATTTACTTAGATAGATGGGCACGAGAATCCAAATACAAAATCTACGCAACAGACGACTCTATCATCTCAAACATTGACGCAAAAGCAAATACTTCCTCGTATGGCTGGCTATTTGGTCCGGGTTTTTTGGTTTTACCCAAAACCGGATCGTATAACCCGGACCGAGACCGGGACCGGATAGTAAACAATCCAATCCAATCTTTGGGCTTAGATATGAGGTAAAAAACCGTTTGGGACCGGATCGAAAACTGGATAAAGACCGGATAAGAGAGCTCAACACCCAAAACTTAAGGGTAATTTGCATAAACGGTCACAAACCTTTGCACTTAGTACAAAACTTAACCAACTCCTCACCCTTTCAGGCCTTAGGCCACTCAAATCCCCACAGGCTCAATATAAAATCAATACCGAATTGGGACCGGACCGGATCAAGACTCGACTGTATCAAATACAATCTTTGGTCCTTATATTTTCAAAAAGACCGGACTGGACCGGATCAATTTGGGTCAATTTAACCGGATCGGACCATATAGCCACCCCTACTTCCTCGAGACATATATATATATATATATATATATATATATATATATATATATATATATAATCAAAATTCATAATATATATATATGCTTCAAATGTAGACTGTACATGCCCTTAAATTAAGGTATATATATCTATATATAGCTCCAGCCTCTTCTTCCATTCCATTTCTCATATGATCTTCCCCAAAACGATAACTATAGCTACATATATATTACATATCTATAATGATAACAATAACAATAGCATATATAATTATATATATCATCAAACAACCCACTAAGAGAATTAATAATAACTTAATGAGTTCCCTCTTGATCATTACACAATATTACACATCGCGACACAATCGCTAGCTCTAGCCAGCCTCCGCATGACGTCGACCTGAGCCCGGAGTGACATCACGTAGTCTAGGGTTTCCCTTATCAACGACGCCTCGTCGTCCATCAACTCCCCGCCGGGGACCAGCTTCCTCAGCACCGCCGTCTTCCGCCTCACCACGGCGGCGGCGGCGGACCTATTGTGGCAGCACCTCCGGCTCCGCTTTATGATCTTCTTGCACCGGACCCTCTTCTTGTAGTGACGTGGCGGCGGCGGCGGCGGCATGTGGTGGGGTTTGGTGGTGACGTGGAAGGAGGAGGAGTGTTTGGCCATGAGGGCCCGGCTCCAGCACGTGGCGCCGTTTCTGACGGAGGCCATGGCGATTTCGGCGGAGAGCTTGATCGTGTCCTTTCTCTTTACGACGTCGTTTTTGTTGATGTTGTTGTTGTGGTTGCATAGTTGGAGTGCGAGTAGCCATTTCTTGACGAACTCCCGCTTGAATGTTGATGAGTTGGGAGGAGGACGCATCCTTTTTTAATTAAGGGAATGCAATTCTCTATCCAACACACAAAAATAAAGAGATAATTATTAGCAAAATTAGCTATAGATATGATAAGGTGGAATTTTTTTTCTTCCATCAACCCATTAACACGAAAACAAAATCTGAACAAGGGTGTTCACGAATAGTAGTCGATTCATTTTCGAACTTTAGAACAAATATTGCCCGTATAACTACCACAAGAAACAATGCATTGAAACAGACTAGAAAGTTTGGTTATTTTCTCTAACGATAGAGCGTTCGAAGGAAGAAGTTAACCATTCAAAACAAGAAATTAACCGTGTGTTTAAAGCAGTTTTTGAGTTATCAAAACGAGCACAACCAAAATTTTGAAAATGACATTATTTAGTTTTGTTTTGTCAGAAACGACCATTAATGAACCGGATTAAATAGAGAGAGATGTGTATCATCAATCTTGTTGATTCAAGACTTCATACTACATACATGGAAGAAAGGAAGACATAGGAGGAAAAAAGAGAGCAACACATGAACGATACTATATCTAAGCTAAGCTATATAGGGTTTGGTAAGAGCATTTCACAATATAGATGATGAGAAGCTAACTATCAATTAAGATATATATACTCAAGTAAAATTGAAATGTAAACAAACTAGCTAGCTCTCACCTTGATGTTATATCCTTTGGAGAAACTGATGAGTAAGAGGAAAGTTAACTAGTGGGAAGAAATCATATGACCAAAGCTAGAGAGAGATGAATTCTCTCCTTCTCCTTCTCCTTCTCCTTATTGTTTAATACAGGCAGAACTGAGAGTTCTTATTCTTCTTCTGAGGATCAGAAATGTAGAGAGAGAGAGAAGGAGAGAGAGAGAGGGGAGAATGTGGGAGGAAAGGAAGGAAGTAAAGGAAAAGGGAGCGTGGGATTTATTTGGAGAGGAAGGAAAGGAAAGGAAAGGAAAGAGAGGGGGGCCTGGCTGTGGCTGTGGCTGTGGTGGTGGGGAGCCACCGTGGTGAAGGAGAAGAAGAAGAAGGAAAGACAGCGCACATGCATGCACATGGGATAACATGTCCCACCACCACCGTTACCATATTCCTCATACTCCCATTTACACCCAATTTTACCACGGCATACCAATTTTAAGTTTTAAACCCCCACCGGCCGGCCGCCGGCGCCGGCCCAATGAAATCAAGCCACTTGGGAGGGGGGTGAGTTTGAGAGTATAATGGTATATGATTTATAACTCAACTGGTTTCTGACAAACAGCACGATCGAGAGGTTTTGTGTTCGCGAATCTCCCACGAACCCCCTTTTTTAAAAAAATAATGGCGACGATTCATTAAACGAAAAAGGACACAAAAAGGTCATACAAACAAAACGACATGATCACAAGACTTTGATCCAAAGAATATGTAGTACTCGGTGGACCAAACCAGACCAGCTCTGCACAGTGAACATACACTACTCTCCTACAAGCAATCAGCTCACACAGTCAAAACCAACACAACACAAAATCTAAACCGAACCACTTAAGAACAATGAATGCGAATTTTCCCACGAACAACTCCGTTTGTCAAAGCCCTTATGAAAGACTTTTCGTGAACTAAGAACTTGGTCTATCAATAATATCGCTAATTGTGAACCAAAAGTAGATTTTCAAATTCGAATCACTTTAATAGTACCTTAATTAACGTGGAATGGATCAACATCGATAATCTACTTGACCGGCCAACGAGAGGCAAGAAAATTTGGCATGTGAGCTTTGGCTATGTTCCGCGGACTTGGACGGTTGGCATATGGGCTGGAATTGGAGTCTTAGTTATTAGGACCCCACCAACAGTTGGTCTATCTACTAACGCCCACAATTAACCACAGAATTAAGAGAGCCACAATTATAGCAATTAGCACTAATAATATCACCCCTGGCATGGCACTATGCATTCATTAGGCCGCCAAAAAGTTGTGAGCCTCTCATGCATGTGCCACATTATGCCTCCTAGGCCCAATTCTTCAAAAAAAAAAAAAAAAAAATTGTCAGCGGTGGAGCGACGTGTAGTATAGAAGGGCTACAACTTCCTTCTTCGTCCTTCTCGATATAACTAGTGAATATATTCATGTGTTAAGAAAGAATTGCTGAAAATGGTAGGATGAGAGCTATTTAGCCCTCCTCTTCCACCATCTAAAGTAAATTTAGGACAATGTTGCAATTTCTTTTAGTAATTAGTCCTCCTCGCTCAAATTCCCAACGACTTCTCCACTGCTCCAACATCATTCCTATTTGAATTTTATTGAGCTCAAAGAAATTGAATATGGTTAGTAAAAGAATATATCATGAAATATTTAGAATATGAAAATTTTCATATAAGAGCTCAGTTAGTAATTCAATCGTTAACCATTTGAGTTACAACGTTACTCGCTCGATCCAATTTGCCCATATGATTCCCAATAAAATCAATGAACACTCCATGTAGGGAGACATATGTATTGTCCCGGGTTTGGTGCCACTGCCGGCACCTAATAACGGTACCCCATAGTTAATTAGACTAATAATTAATTAACTAATTATTAAGAACAAATAAATGAACAGAAATTAGCATTGCCAACTAATTATCACATGCACATCATAATCAAAATTTTCTTTCTGCTTTACTTCCATCTTACTACTACTAGTCTCTAATCACGGGGGATCAGGATGTGATTACTATCCTTTAACATGTCTGGAGAATATTAGACATCCCAACCTTGGTGTCTTCCCTCCAACATATAACTAACTCCATTATAAATATTTAATAAACATGGAAAAAGAAGCATACTAGTCAAACTTTGATTGGATTATGGCTATATAGAATATGATTAATCAAGGTTGATAATGCCTATCTTTATGTATTTAATCGATCTGCGGGTTGGGGCAGTGGGCAACGGTTCGTTTCGTCTTACCAGAAACAAATTGAGTTGGATCAAATATATATGATTCAATTTTGTTTCGATTCCATTCATGAATGCTCCTTAAACACAAGAGAAAGCAAACTTAACCGATATTTTGATTTAACGACTAAATTAGATCAAATGTAATACTTTTGGTTTATTTTGATCCTTGAGTTTTTTTTTGGTTTGGTTCATTCTCGATTTTGAATCGATTTTGGATTGGATTAAAACAACCCACCCCCTATCCGTAGGAATATATTATTTTATAGGAATAAAATGAAAAAAAGCATATGCAGTCCGTTTTGATTGGTTTACGACATATAATAATAATTATCTATGTATGTAATCCGTAGGGATAAGTTGGTGATGGGATGTGATCACGCCAAAAGGTGTATTATTGGATGATTAATGATATTGCTTAATGCATCATTAATACCTTTCTTTGTGGGAAACAACATGTCTCACAAAGAATTAATATGTTTTAAGCTCTAGCTCTAATTGTTTCTTTTTAGTGATTAGCTCTAATTAATCTGTGTATTTTTATTTTGCTTGATGTGCAAGTGATATAATGGAAGGAAAAACACTAGTAATGGATTTGTATAAATTTTCCTTCTCTCGTTCATTTTTTTAGTGTAATTATTACCAATTAAGGAGGCAAGGAAGGATTAAGCCATGGAAAATGTATAAAAGAATTATTAACTAAATCAAGGGTTTGCCCATAAAGGGAGAATTAAGGGCTAAAATATGGAAGAATCGATCGGGCAGGTGTCCTGTCTAATTAAAGTACATAAGAAGACCGACTAGATGAATGGTTGGAGGGTCAACCCCCCGCGATTCCCGGCTGTCCCTTCAATCGGAAGACCTAATGAGAAAAAAGAGTATCATGAATGGACTTAGTCCGCTAAAGGTTCGAATTTAGAGTGTGGTGTATGTTATTATTTCGTATTATTATTAGGCCAATTTGTTGAGATTATTACTGATTATTTTTTGTATTAATTACTCATTTGGTCTCTAATAGATTTGTACAGTATGATAAGAGTTAGAAGTGTTTCCAATCCTGCAGTAGTTCAATCCTTTCTTCGCTTCTTTGTTCAGGATTCAACTGAATCTGATCAAACGAAGTTACATAAAATTGACGAGAATAAAAAACAGAATCAAATTGTACATTAATTCGTACGAATACTTTGGTTCATACGATGATGACCCGAACCACATCCTTAAGATCTTGCGATACTCCTAAATTCCAAAGTGCGACCCTGATGAGAGTACAACCAAGTACTTTTCTCTCGAATCACGTTGAACAGTTGATTGGACATTATAAATCATTCTAAAATTTCAAGGCGAAGAGATATTTCCTCGCACTTTTATTCAAAGCTATCGATCATGCCCCCTTCACAACAGATCAATGTAGAACTCTCAATAGTGTCTCATTGGTTCATCGATCCTTCGCCCGACTATCTATCAACCTATGTACATTAGCTGGTCACATACAAACAATTCTTTTTTATAGCTTACTCAACCATTAAAGGCACTAATGCTGCCATTTCATGCTATATTATCATTGTTAATTTCTAATTAGCCACCAATTAGCTGGAATAGCTCAGTTGGTTAGAGCGTGTGGCTGTTAACCACAAGGTCGGAGGTTCAAACCCTCCTTCTAGCGGCAATTTTCTTCCTTTTTTTTTTACCCCCAAACCCAAATCCCAACAAGATCGATAAACACATGGGCAATTGTTACTATAGTAAGTAGTAACGTGAATGAAAGGGAGGGAATTAGGGCACAGAGCTTTCGTAGATATCGTGCACGCACGCCCACAACAGGCAACACTCGCATGTGCATACACATGAGAGTGGGCAAAAACCCCACACACTCTCACTACTGTCCCAAAACTCCAACCCCTCCTTCTTACGTTATATTCAAATCATATGATATAAGCACATGTACATATTTGGACACATACACATGATATCTCGACTCACTCCCTCCTTTAATACTTCCCCTTTCTCTAGGGCTAGGCTACCGGCCGGCCAGCTGGTCTTTTCTCAAATCATGTACTCAAACAAACAATCCTCGACCACGTGTGAAGTCCGAGCCGGTGATGGTGACGTGGTAGTGATAACGCGTTCGTCATAACCTTGGATCTGAACTGGTGTGTGCGTGGTGTCGTGGTAGTTAGGTACGTACTGCTAGCTTGTATCGGATGCAGGTTCGAATTTGAGTTCATTATTAGTCCACAAATTATAGACATCACGGTCGATGAAGCACCCCCGACATGAATCATTCATATGTTTGAGTTGGCGACAGATTACAGATAGTCATATACCGTTGTTTCCTTCTTTTTATGCTAACATGAATTGTTCCAGTCGTGTATCATACATATTGTGTGATGCAAAATTGGGTTTCGATCTATATGACCTTTGATAGTACAGCGCGTACACACCCTTTTCTGTAGAGACAGATAGTAACCTAACCGTTAAAAGAGTTTATTCAATGATCACATAAAGTTTCAATAATAAGGCCTAAACCCCTATCATGGCCAGAACGTAATTCCTTTGCTTCTTCCTCTTATTTTTACGTTTTTGGAAGGTTCGTTGGATCAAATCAACAAACTTTACAGCTTCGACTCCACGAGGAGATGTGCTGGAAATGGAATATGATATTCATATTTCTATTTCATATATAGAATTCCTTTCTCTCCCCACTGCGCCTCCTTGAATCATGGATGGATTTCATGTTGGTGGCTCGTGGCTATTGCTCCCCTTTTTACTCTCTCTCTCTCTCTCTCTCTCTCTCTCTCTCTCTCTCTCTCTCTCTCTCTCTCTCTCTCTCTCTCTCCATCAAAATGTACGGTTTCTTCTTGCCATATTTTTTCTTGGATCGTCCAACAAAGTCCACTCGTCAATGACTTGTGCAATAATATTATAGTTAATTTACTAGCTACTAAACAAAGATCATTAATCAACTATATAATAAAAAGGTTCATCCTTGTTTAAAAAAAAACTCACTAGCTACTAGCTAGCTACTAAACAAAGATAATTAATTCTCTAATTCCTATGAATTTCATGATTCCTCATGAATAAGTTTTATACCACTCTTTTACAAGGCTCCTCATACAAAAATCAACCCATCAAGTTGAAGTAGGCACAATCCTAACAGTTTTCGTTCTTAACATTCAATGTTTAGAGTATCTAAACACAAGCCCTTTTTTCCCGATAATTCTAAGACTATGTTAAGATCCAATTAGCCCTACTAACTCTTACTTGTTGGGAAAAGCGCAAGTGCATGTGGATCCACTTACACGATCTGGTTCCACGCAATCGCTTCTACTTTCAACCCAGTTCGGATTTGTCTACCTACAGAGCAGGGAGGTTTGAGTCAAAAGCATGACATTAGATCGGACTTACAATTCAAATTCATGTTCATTAATACACAATTACAAATTCGTGTATTCGATTGTAAACCCATAGACTTCAAGCACAAGATTTATACACCATAAAACAAGTCTTCCTTTTCTTAGACGGCCTAGAAACAATCAACTTATGTTCGAAAACTGACTCTGTGCGTCGACAACCCAACGTTTAAAAGCAATACATTTTTGCTACGCTCATTACAACTAAGCCAACCCCTCGAAACATATACCCATGAGTACTGCCAGCTAAGTCTAGAAGCCCTTATCTCGTCATTCTCCAACGAATCACATGTCCAGTTAGCATTTCGCAACATGCTTCGAGTTCAGAGCTTTACTAGCTAGTGAGGATTGAGTAGCCGTTCAAGCACCCATTGAAGCCCTAAGAAAAGGGTAATATTGAATACGTGGGTGGTGTGGCCATGTGCACTCTCTCTCTCTCTCTCTCTCTCTCTCTCTCTCTCTCTCTCTCTCTCTCTCTCTCTCTCTCTCTCTCTCTCTCTCTCTCTCTCTCTCTCTCTAGAGCCTTAAACCAGGAAAGGGAGGGGACAATGATCAAAGATTCAATCGTGTGGGTTGTCCCTCCAATTTGGTACGTACGTGGACCTCTCAACTCACACAAACATGTGCACAAGACTCCCTTCCTCTTGGCTACTAAAATAGTTTGTTGATGTTGGCCGACGGCAGTAGTGCGCGAGATACTTGCAAATTCAATCATGTACCCTTGAAATTCTGTCGCTTTTGCGGCCCCCCCATCGCAAGAAGAAGAACATGGTGGCAGAAATATTGCATTCCATGGGTTCAAGGCACATGCTGCCATATGAAGAAATTAAGGTCTCTCTCTTAATTGCCCTTCTTCTTCTTCTCTCTCTCTCTCATATATGCTTGTGCTGTTGTGCATGTGAATAAAGGCACGATTGAGAAAAGTTCAAGAATCGATCTTCACGGTCCTTTTATACAGAAACTGATTGTGATGAAGTTGAAAACTGCATACATTCGGTTTGCTTCGTATCTTCAATTTGACTAAGAGTGTTGGAAGTTACAAGAATTCGACCATAAAACTCCTCATTCAATAATTCGAATGGTTAAACAAGAAACCAAATATCATTGAAGACAAAGTGAACTTGTTCAGACCCAAACAAAATAATCAACTATGGGATGAATATCTAGTCACAAAGAAGAGAAAATGAAAATTAAGACGAGAGAGAGGTACAACGAGCGATGGATAGAATATCAATTTCGAATAAACACTCGCTATTCGAATTGTTTGGCCTATTTTCAGGTAGAGAGTGGGCACTCCCTTCGACCTGATGTGTTCCACTCTTGAATATTTTCCTGTAAAGCGTATACACGCATGAATCGATATTTACTATCCAAGCTCTTGAGTAAAATATCTATCTACACCCGACCTGTCAAGAAACGGATACAGATACTCAAGTACTCGCTCCAACCGGACCATAACCATTCTTAGCAATGGGTGTGAGTGTGACCAGGACTTATCATTCGTTTTCAAGAGAACTATACAACACCCATGATTAGCTAATTGATTGTTGAACCGACTTGAGCATGCAAATTGAAATACCAATAAGAAATATGGAAAAGGATTATCCCAACAGGAACCCACTTTGACTTCCATGAGAAACTGCCAAAACAGACACTAGGAGATTGTCAACTTCACACCAAACTTGAATTGTTTTCACTTATCCCATCCATGTATTATTGGACACAACCACCCTGGTTTTGGATATCATATCTCCAATTCTCAATGCCACCGCCCAAACCTTCTTGATCATAAGCAAATTTTTAACAAATGTGTAAAGCCACGTCTTAATGTATTTGAGAAACAATTCTTAAAAGGATTGATACAAGTTATAGAAAAGGTTTCACTATGCTAAGACAAGATCATCAACAAAAAACCAACCTCACTATGTATGTGAGAAAGTTGGACGATTCACGTATCATGAACTAGACAAACCGGAAGATACAATTCTTAAAAGGATTGATACAAGTTATAGAAAAGGTTTCACTATGCTAAGACAAGATCATCAACAAAAAACCAACCTCACTATGTATGTGAGAAAGTTGGACGATTCACGTATCATGAACTAGACAAACCGGAAGAGAAGTGACCTAATTAGGGGTGATAATCGGTTCGGTTGCGGTTAAACCGAACCGACGGGTCGGTTAGCCGACACCTATTAGAGGTCAAAACAGGCAACCGCAACCGCAACCGATTGTCCAATCGGTTAGCCGAAACCGCTAACCGTCGGTGTCGGTTCGGTTGGTCGGTTGACTATCAACCGGAAATTAATTGAAAAAAAAAAATAAAAATTCCAAAAAAATATAAAAGATTAATTCCAACCCTCTAGCATTCTCGATCCTTCTTCTCCCCATCTCATTCTCTGTTACCCTATCCTCTCTCCAAAAGAAAACCCCTCTCTCTAACCTCTCCAAAAGAAAACGACTTCTGTTGGAGGACAGCGGCGAGCCGGCGACGCGAAGGCTGGGAGCGGCGGCGATGCGACGCGACGAAGGCTGGGAGCGGCGGGATGGCGGCGATGCGACGCGACGAAGGCTGGGAGCGGCGAGAGGGCGGGGATGGACGCGACGAAGGCTGGGAGCGAGAGGATTGAGGAAGGCGCTGCGACGGCCGATGGCCGACGAGCTCGACGGGGACGAGGCTACTGGCGGCGGCCGGCGAGGGGAGGGGCTAGGGTTCAGAAATGGGGAGGGGCGGCGGGTGTGAGAGGGGACTGGGGAGACTCTCGATTTTGCGATTTAGGATTTTAGGTTTAACCGTTTAGGGCAGGGGAGGAGGGAAGGAGAGGCTGTCTGTCCGCGTGCGTCGGTTTTCTCGGTTTTGTTCGGTTAATTTGTGCGGTTGTGGCTTTTAACCGCGATAATTGCCCACTGGCCAGAAACGTCCAACCACAACCGCAAACCGCAATAAACCGACGGTTTTCGGTTGGTCAATAAACCGACGATTTCGGTTCGGTTTCGGTGGTAACCGACAAACCGGAGACCGATTAACAGCCCTAGACCTAATCATATTCTACGAGTCCTTTTTTCATGATAAGATACCTATAATCTCTTTGCACATACACTCAAAAACTCATTCCTAAGTTGGAAGTTAATGATCCCAAACCAATTGGCATTGGTCCACTAGTATAGCATCTAAAAGAAACCACGCGAACACAAATTAAAGTGATAAAGACTTACACAAAAGTGAGACAATCCTAAAAGTTTTTCAACTTCATCACATGAAAACACATTCTCTACATCTCGTGGCTTTTGTTACTCACAGGCCGATTGTGGTCGTCAGTGGTCAATAAGAAGCGTCTTCATTCTCGTGCTAGGTAAACTCTTTCGTGCAACTACAAAGAAATTTCAAAACAAAAGTCATGTCCACTAGCCATGAAAACAAATCCATCCTTGATAAATTAAGTTTGATCGTTAACCCGAGACAAGAAATTTAATTTTGCAACATGCCATTGTAGCTAATACGATGAATGATCCGTTATCGAGATCCCTTCGATTGGTAATAGAGTGGAGCCAAATAGCGCCAACTTAGATGTTAGAGGATTCACTCTTATTCATCTAACTTTCGAGGTAACAAGACTCAACAACCGTCGACAAGATACAACAACTCGGCCGATCTCTATACCTAATAGGCTAGTTGCTTGCATTTACACTTAGAGTCTGGCCCTAAAACACCTGATGTGACCAACTCATAACAAAACAAACCATCTAAGAACAGGGGTAAAACATGACAAGCAACAAGGTAGAATGAATTAGGGAGATCGAACTATTGACAGACTATGTAACCTGACCTGACACGGCAGATGAGGAGGAAGAACGAAAGCTTCTTCGAGGGACCACGTGGCTCGACACCTCCTGACGACGACGTGCTGATCGCTGTTGCTGCTGACCCGAAGAACGGTTCCTGTCAGGAGTAGTAGGAGGAAGAACAACAACATCACAGAACTCTTCCTCCTGCTCCACTGTTACATTTGATTTCTCCACAGTGGATTGTTTGTCCTTCCTCGTCACTTTCTTTGTCATCAACATCTCCATGGTCAACTTCTTGCTTCGCCGAACATATCCTGTGTAAACGAGAACAACAAGTTATGGTCTCTGGTGTAGCTTTCAGACAAAACAACGACTGAATCATGGAACCTGTCAAAATCCCGGCCATGTTTGGTACTTTGGTTCTGAAACAATACGGCAAGTTGCAAAGGGAGAAAAAACAGGGGACTCTGTTTTACTATGGAGTTTTGGGTCTACATCACAAGAGTTGAAACCGTACTACTCATACAATTGGGACTGGTGATTTGAGAGTTTCCACTTCATGAATGATCAAGATAACTGTTAATGGTACAGAATTAATTCAACCACAAGGTAGACAAGTTTTGTATAAGTTCTTAATAATCATTCAGATAGCCGCTACTTCTGAGTTTGTACAAACTTTACTCACTTTATCGTAATAATGAGATACTCTGCTAGTACGAGAGATCAAATAATCGTACCATCGAGTCCAAAGCGAATCGCTTTGTATCTCCTTTCACTTCCTATCTACGGAAAATATACTCACTAGGCTCAAATTTGCTCATATTATGTCGTATTCTATGCTTAAATCAACTAAGTATTGGAATCTACTATAACTCGAACACTACATCGAGATTCGAGACCGATTTATGTTCATCGTGACCAAGACAAAAAGTACACAAGATACACCGAAAACATCATTTCACCCCCTACAAAAAAGTACACATAACATGCATATGGACTTCCTAACAACACAATTCGATCTCATAACTCGAATTATTAATACGAACTGAATCTTAAATCTAAACTGCAAGCAAATAATGAGGCCACAAAATCACCTGGGATTGTTGGTCTTGAAGATAGCAAGGGACCATACAAGTAAGAATCGGATTTCAGATACTGCACGACCTTCTTTCCAAGTCCCTTATTATTGTTCTTCCTTCCTCTCGCCATGTACTCAATTCCATCTTCAGATAAACAACAAAAAAAAAAAAAGAGCTCCATCAGCTAAAAACAAAGACTACCCATCAACGGAAGAGCTAAAAAGATGTCATCTTTACACTTTCTTCCTCACCTGGGAAGCTAACTTTCGGCGGCGACGAAGAATCAATCACCGTCGCCGTCGTCGATAGAGGAGAATCGAGCAAAGGACCAAACAAGTAGGAATCGGACTTGAGATAGTTCGCGACTTTCTGAACCCATTTTGCGGTCTCTTTCCTGTTTGTGGGTTTGTTCTTCTTCTTCTTTAGAACTCCTAGCTGAACTTTACTCGCCATTGTTGCTTGCTTTGCTCTGTAAGGCGGTGGATGATTCTGGTAGTAGGGGGAAAGGGGGGATTTTTTCCCCGTTTTTTTTTTTTACTCTGGTATCGTTCTAGCGGTTGAGGAGATGGGTAGTTGACCCCCAAAGCCTGTTGGGCTGGTTTCTTATCAGACTTGGGCTTACTGGATCTTGGATTTCGGGATTTTAATTTTACACGAAACCATCCCTTTGGACCCCCAAACCCTTTCCCCTTCTTCTCATCTGCTTCCCGCCGCCTCACTTCTCCTCCACTCTCCCCTGTCTTGCTGCCGTCGCCGCCGAGGACTCCCCTGCCGCCGTCGCCGCCGAGGACTCCCCTGCCGCCGTCGCCGCCGAGGACTCCCCTGCCGCCGTCAGCCCGGACTCCCTTGATCGTCGTCGACCCGTCGAGGCCTCCCTTGCTCGCGGTCAGCCCTCGTTGTCGTCAACGCGACCTTTGGCTCCCCGCTCGCTGCCTTGTTCCGGCCTTCAAACCCCGCTCGCCGTCGACCCGGCCTTCCCCGCTCGTCGTCAACCTGGAATTCCCCGCTCGCCTTTGTCCTCGTCCAAGTTTATATCCCCTGCGCCTGGTGAGCAATCTTTTCAATATCTCTGCTTACATGAGATAAGAGCAAGAAATAGAGAGATTTTGTTCACTAATCACAATGGTTAATTCAACTCAACAGGTCACGTAAAACAACTGATTAGATTAAATAGGATTGGCAGACCAGAATTGAACAGAGAGTTGATTTCTTCAGAGAGGTGGAGCTTAATGTTGTTAGACCTCTTCAATTGTCTTACGTGAATGGAATTAAGGATTTTTTCTGCACTGTAGATTTCGTTGAGTTTTCACTTTGCTTAGGGTTTATCCGTATCATTGAGTCTGAGAGCCTTCCTTCTAGGAGTGCATCCTGTTCCTGAAATTGTTCTAAAAGGAATCCCCCACGTCATTCTTGGACACATGTTGACAAGACGATAGTGATCAATACACCTATTATGAGCAGGTTCTAAAGATTGTTTTTTCTTTGATATCAAGTTCCATGGCTCATGGAAATTTAAGACAAGGTTTGGGGAAATATTGGCTCTGTTCTTTAGTCACGATGTTGTTGAGTAAGGTTGTAACTTAGTCTCTGTCATTGCTATTGTTGGTTATATTGCATGTTTCTGGACCAGTCTTTTCGCAGCAGTACATGTGTTTTGTATCTACTGCTCTCTTTGTACTATGGTTACTTTCACTTATAGAAGAACATTTCATAATTATATTGTTAAGGCAGAGTTTGAAATTCCCAGTTTAATATAGTTGGAATCAATCTAAAATTTGAACCTTGCATGTATTTTTAAATGGTTTTGAATAACATGTGTCTATCTATCTTGGTTGGGTCACGGACACGTTGATACTCTCAATGGTATTGATTCCATTCCTGCTTAAACCAGGAAACATTTGTGTTGCAGGTTTGTTGACCAGTATGGTTTTGAAAACATAGGAGCGGAAGCAAGCTACCCTCTGGTATTTTCTATTTGTCGCTTGTGCTCTTTGTCAACCTCGTAATCAAGGACCAGCAGAAGAAGATGAAAGTAAAAGTAATATCACGCTCTACTGATGAGTTTACTCGAGAAAGAAGCCAAGATCTTCAGGTCCAACCAGATAACTAAAATTTTATGATATCTTTTCTGTTCTTTTCATTGATAGTCTCTTCAAATAGCATACTCTTTTTAATAATTCAATTGTTGGAATTTTTTTTTTTTTCAATTAGAGAGTGTTCCGCAATTTCGACCCCAAACTTCGTCCTCAAGAGAAAGCAGTTGAATATGTCAGGGCACTTAATGCTGCCAAGTTAGAGAAGGTAACTTCGAGCTTTATGAATTTTTTTCATGCTGATGATGATTTTCACGACTGCTTGAATTCATCTTCTTAACAAGTTTCTAGGAATGGAATTTTTTATTTGCTTTCTAATCTAACATCTGGGGAATTGATTATTATTCTCGTAGATCTTTGCAAGACCATTTATAGGAGCAATGGATGGTCACATAGATGCTATTTCGTGTATGGCGAAGAACCCCAATTTCTTGAAAGGGATTTTCTCCGGCTCTATGGATGGAGGTAAAAGATCTTTTTGCCTTCATTTTTGTTATGCTTGTTCTAGGACTCTATTAATGTAAAAGGTTGGATTGTATCACAGCTTATCATGGTTGTATCCAGGCCACTACCTTACACTTCTATCTATTATATTGGAGTTAGATACAGGATTCTTCTCATATAGAGCTGTGGATGTGTCATTGTTCGTTTGTGATGATTCTAATTGCTTTGTATGGGTGTTTGCAGATATTCGCCTCTGGGATATAGCTTCCAGGTAATCTTTTCTTTGTACAACTCACTGCCAATTTCTTGTTTAAAATCGAAGACTGGTCATGGTGTGCAATAGGCTTCCTAGCTGGACATCATAGGGTAGACGGGGAGCATTTTGCGTTCTGCCTAGCTTATTATATTCAATTTGTTGCCTGGATGAAATTGTGAATGGAAAAACACACTGCAAAACTGCAGAAGGAACTTCATTGTTGTGATTTATTGCTGTAGATATTAGAGCCCGTGGGTCCTTAAGTGGAACTAAAGGAATGACCCTGATTACCTTGTGTGAGGTGGGTATTACTTTCTATGACGTGGATCCAGCTTTGCTCATAAATTTGACAAATCTTTCAGAATATGGTAGTAGTCTGTTGGAAGGAACTTGTTATTTTATACGGTTAGATCTTCCTTTTTTGTATGCTTTGCTACCATTCATTAACAATGAGTGGGGTCCACGTGGAAAAAAACACAAATTGGATTGATGTAGCAGTCGCTTTTTTATCATGTCCTGTCTGCCGAATCAAAATGTTCCATTGTACTTTTTTTCAGCTTTGAGATGTCAATTTTTGTTTGTTAAGATTCACCTTATGATGGATGCTTACTTCACATTTTTGTACCCAAAATTGCACCGAACGTGTGGATTGAGCAGGAAAACAGTTTGTCAGTTTCCTGGTCACCAAGGTGCTGTAAGAGGCTTAACAGCATCCACTGATGGAAGCACCCTAATATCTTGTGGAACAGATTGCACGTAAGTATGAGCTTCTGCATATTTGTTTCTTCTCTTCCAAGCAAGATCTTTTTCTAGAGTGTGGATATATTTTGATTTATCCTGCACATTTAGTGTTAGGATTTGGAGTGTGCCAGTAGCTGCTACCTTGGAATCAGATCATGCCTCTAATAAGCCCATCGAGGTAGTGCTTTCGTTGTTGTTGCTGTCTGATAAATGTGCTCTCTTTCCCATCTTGCCATGCTGACTGACTGTGCTTGTTTACATATCCAGGCCAATGCAGTTTATGTTGGAAAGAATGCTTATTGGTGAGGATTTAAGAACTACTTGCGAGTTCCATATGAGCTTCAGCATAGCTGGGTTTTTTAATTATTCTTATTAAACAACTTTCCATTTTACCATCTAATCACAGGGCTGTAGACCATCAGTGGGGTGGTGACCTCTTTGCTACAACTGGTGCTCGAGTTGAAATTTGGAATCACAACAGGTTATTTTTCTTGGGTTTTTTGTATTACACTGAAATATTGAATTTGCATTATTGATTTGACAAGATTGGCTTCTCTATCAGGTCGCAACCCGTAAACACTTTCGAGTGGGGGACAGATACAGTTATCTCTGTTCGGTTTAATCCTGGGGAGCCAAATCTTTTGGCCACGTCAGCTAGGTATGTGGTGGGAAGATGAATCCTGTATTTGTCGCTAAGGGCTTAATGATTGAAATGTATGGATAGGTGACGCTGTATATGTGATTCCAATTGTTTTTTTAACAAAGTAGAAGGGTGATATTGAAATAGAAGATTTATAGCAAATAGTGCTTTTGGATTGAGCTTTTATGTTGCAAACTATGAATTGGGATTATATAGACAGTTGAAGTCCAATTCAAATAGTCTCATAGCATTGATACCACTACCATATTATTAATAAGCAGAGTCCAATTCCCCAATCTCAAGAACTTGAATGGTAACCATTTTGCTTTGTAGGTACAGGTGTGTGTGGTTTTCTTTTGTTTTGGTAGCTTGTTTTTGTGTTGTTAATGATATATACTACTGGCTTGTCCAACATACTTATGGGTTGAAGAGCGGTTGTTAATTGTTCCTAAAATTTCATAATATTTTTTCAGTGATCGCAGCATTGCGTTGTATGACTTGCGCATGTCAACTCCTGCAAGGAAACTTATCATGCAGGTAAATTTTTTGGTTATGAACTCTAGATGTGATTCATGCTTTTTTGGTTATGAACTCTAGATGTGATTCATGCTGATGATCTCAAAATTTATTGCTATCTTTTTGTCCTGTAAGATCGCTGCTGTACAATATTTCTAAAATCGACTGAGTTTGTATCTATTCCCTCTATCATGTATGTGTGCATATGTGGGTGGAAGACCATCACCATTTTTATGGTTGATGTTGAAATCGGAGGAAATGCAAACTTAGTTATGTGTAGGACACAGATAAAGTTCAGACTTCAATTCTCTCTGCTTTGACAGCCTTCTTCATGACTCACTTGCTTGTCTATTGGGTTGCTTGTCCTCTAGTTTCATTCTCTTGGGTTCTTCTAAACTTTGATTTCGCTTGCTTCTGGTTTTTGCTACTTGCTACTGCAGTTATGTCTGTAAATCTGAGTGTTATCTTTTTGTTACAGACAAGAACCAATTCCATTGCTTGGAACCCCATGGAGCCACTCAACTTCACAACAGTAAGCCCATTGATATTGTTAAAATCTTTCTGGTGTCTGATAATTTTGCTGCCATTGTCAAACATGGATATGCAAGGCATACCTAACTGTTGCTGATTGCTTTGCTAGTGCCCGACTATCAAACTAATTTATGATACAATTTTTCATTTCTGCAGGCAAATGAGGATTGCAGCTGCTATAGCTATGATGCTAGAAAACTGGACGAAGCCAAATGTGTGCACAAAGATCATGTTTCTGCAGTGTGAGTTCATGCTCATTTCTTTTAACGTCTGCATGTGCAATTTTGTTTTTGTGCTTTTAATACCTAGTCAGGAGATCTATAATCTTGTCTATCCTTATTTCAGCATGGACATAGACTACTCTCCTACTGGCCGGGAGTTTGTAACTGGATCTTATGATAGAACTGTAAGTTCAATCTTTCACTGGTTGTCTTTGCTTGAAAGGCGAACAGTTACATTGTCGTTCAGTCTCTGTCCTTTGGGTAAATTTCTGATTCTGATCTTATGGAACTGCTGCCTGATGTCTGATTGCAGGTTAGAATTTTCCCATATAACGGTGGCCATAGTCGGGAAATCTATCATACAAAGAGAATGCAAAGGTTTGTTTCCTTAGTTATTTATATCCTGTTCAAACTCACAAGTCATGCTAGTCCATGAAATAGCAACTTCGTCCTGACGTTTTTCGAGTTGATAGTTATTTGATGACAACACAATTTTCTTCTTTTTTTGGCAGGGTATTTTGTGTCAAGTTCAGCAGTGATGCAAGTTACATTATTTCAGGGAGTGATGACACTAACCTTAGGTTGTGGAAAGCTAAAGCATCGGAGCAGATGGGAGTTGTAAGATATATTTAGTTCCATGTTCCGACTTAGTTAGTCTGTTTTATGTAGATCAGGCTTTGCTGAATCATGTTCTTCTAATTGCTAATATCTATACATCCTGCTGTTGCAGTTGCTTCCAAGGGAACAGAAAAAGCACGAATACCAGGAAGCTGTCAAGAATCGTTATAAGCATCTACCTGAAGTCAAAAGGATAGTGAGGTAAGCGAATTTTTCAGGTCACATGTGAAAGTGATTAACCACAAGCCTTTATGCCACGATTTTCTGCAACTTAATTTGGCGTGCGTTGTGGATGATTGTGCAGACATAGGCATTTGCCAAGACCAATATACAAAGCTAAGGAGTTGCGCCGCATGGTGATTGATGCTGAGAAGAAGAAAGAGGAAAGGAGGAAAGCTCACAGCACCCCAGGGAGCATCGTTACGGAATCAGTGCGTAAAAGGAGGATCATTAGAGAAGTTGAGTAGTTTGTTCAGTTTTCGACGGGATAGCGTTGTCGAGTTTGCAGGTTGCATCGAAACTCTCAAGGCCATATGGGTATCTTATCAACCATTCTGGAAGAGCTTTTGATCGATCAAACTAGGGATGGGTCATATTGGAGGTTGCATCGATGCAAATGTACTCGTGTTCTTTGGCGCATCAATATTGTTTCTGTTTTTATTAATTAGGTTCTCCAGAACTGGTTAGGATAATATCATGTTAAGAAGGTTTAAGATAATAATTGGTGGTGGGTCGATCTCAAATCGTGGTTCAACCAATCACTTGACCACCCCATCTAATCTGGATAAGAATCACTTTGTACGATTTTTTAGCGGATAAAATATCTCGGGTATCATTTAAGTTTCAGAATTGGGGCAGACATACTACTTAAGTTTGAATAGGGCGTCGGGTACCATTAAAGTCACCAAAATGTGCATCCGTCTAGTTTTCCACCCAATGCAAAAAATAATTTGGAACCGTTACAAAAAAGTGCAAGTAACAATGTAGCAAGGTTGTTAAATGGGATTAAATCGTTGGGTCGATAAACAAATGATTTGAGATTTATTGGTCATATTGGAGTTTAATTGGATTAAGCTGCTTTTACATAATATAATTTTTTATGCATCAAACGCTTTTTCCATTTTATCAAAAGAAAGGGGTGTTGGAAACATCCTTTCCAAATAGGCAAAACCCAGTTATCACTAGTATTACATCAGCAATAAAAATATCAACCTATTCTTATCTTATACACCTCAAGTCAAAACAACTATATCAATAACATGTATCCATAGAGATCCAGAATTTGACAGCTTCCTCTTCCTGCACCAAAACCCGAACTTCACTTCTGATTACCTTCTCCAGACCTTCCACACTTTCGCTGGTTCCTTCAAATGATCTAATGCATCTCTCCCTCCAGATATGGCTAATCATGGATTGCCAAATGAGTCTCCCATGCCCTGCATCCACACTCTTTTTTCCTAAAGTGCCGAGTAGCCCACTACAATGAGTCCTCCCAGTCACTTGGTAAATACCCAGAAAACCCCCAAACAGCACCAGAAAGATCTGCCTATAATACTCACACTGAGAAAATATATAGTCCCTACTCTCTGGCACCTGGTTACACAGAACACAGATGTCAGAGCCAGAGAAGCCCCGTTTTTTCATTTTATCCTTTGTTTGGATCCTATTTTTGATAATAAGCTAGACTAAGAATCGATTTCTTGGAATTCAAGGAGTCTTCCAAACCAAGCCAGCCCATGCGACTATGCTCAGTTTAGGTCTAAGTGTTTCCCGTATCATTTTCACAGAGTACCTTGGCATCATAATATTATTCCAATAAACATGGCCATCATTTAAGCTAAAAGAGTTAGGAATTTTACCTCAAAGCTTCAATAGCTTTTTCCAATTCCAAGATCCATTAATGTTAATCTCCTAGAAATTCCTCCCTTTTAACTTATATGCATTGATCTAGGCAACCCATAACGACCCTTGCTTTAATATAATCACACAAATTTGACGACATATGCATGCATTATTCCAAGCAAACATGTTCCTCAACCCTAGGCCACCTTCCTTCTTAGGGTAAGTGAGATATTTCCAAGCAACTTTTGCTTTTAATCTTGGTCCATCCCCCACATCACAAAGATAGTTGCTACATATCTTCTCAACCTCCCTCAGGACAGTTCTTGGGAGTGTAAAGACACTCATCCAATACTGAGTAATATTATAAAGCACAGAATTAACCAGTTCCACCTTTCCTGCATAAGTGAGTGATTTAGCCTTCCAACATTGTATACGAGCAGTGAGTCTATCAATTAATGGCTTACACACAACCACAGTCAACTTGCCTGCAATCAACGACACAACAAGATATCGAATATGAAAATTTTCCAGTTTATAGCCAAATATATCAGCCCTTGCAACGATTTCATCCTTCTCCACCCCTTTAAAGAAAACCTCACACTTACTTTGGATTAGATTTCAACCCAGATAAACAATAGAACTCTTCAAGCACTCTTTTCACACTCCGCAATCCATGATTAGACCCATATGAGAAAACCAATAAATCATACGAGAAGCATAAATGAGTTAATCCAATCTTCTTGCACATTGGATGATAAGGAAACTTACCCTTTCCTGCTTCTCTATCCAACAAACATGTAAACACTTCCATGGCAACCACAAACATATATAGAGACATTGGGTCCCCATGTCTCAACCCTTGTTTTGACGGAAAATAACTAATCAAACCCCAACTGAAAGCAATACACAACATAGGCTCTTCAACACACATATTGATCGAGTCAATAAAAGCAACTGGGATCCCCATAGCTTCAAGAACAGTAAACATGAATTGCCAGTTGACAGAATCAAAGGCTTTCATAAGATCTATATAAAATATTTTTTTCGAATATTTAGAGACTAGTTCATAAGCTAGGAGTATATTCTCACCAATTAACCTACCCCTAACAAAAGCAGTCATATTCTTACTTATCAATGTAGGAAGCAGAGCATTAAATCTTTGAGCAACAATTTTTTTATATACATTTATATATTGTGTTGCAGCAAGATATAGGTCTAAAACTTTTCATTTCCTTCGGATTAGGAATTTTTGGAATCAGAGCAAGAATAGTTGAGTTTACCTCTTTAGGTATCTTATTAACTGCAAAACAGTACTGCATAGCTGCTACTATATAAATATATATATATATATGATAATAATTTAAAATTTTACCTTTCCCCGTTCGGACTCTCTCTCTCTCTCTCTCTCTCTCAATAATAGACCAAAACGATAAGGTGAATCATGCAATAGTGGGTAGAAATTCTAGTAATAATGATCTTGAACAATTCAGCAAGCCAACCGACAACCGGAAGAGCCAAAGAAAGGCCTAGGACCTCTATTTTCCTTCCCGCCCCTCGCTTCACCAGATTGCTCTCTCTTTCCGATGGGAGGCTGGGGTATGGGAACGAACAACGGTGTAGCTATACGGCTGGGGGAGTGTAGAACGACAACATCTTGGCTAGGAGTTGGAAACTGGTAAATCCGGTCAAACCGTCTGTTTATCCTGATTTTGACTAGTATTGTTGCTTCTCAAAAAATCAAATTTTATACCTAATCCTAAAATGACGTTTATTTAATTTGGTTGCCCAAAGTGTAAAACAACGCTGATGCGTATGTAGTAATGCATCAAAGTAATAAAATTCCTCGATATGTCAAGAGTCATATTCCACAAGGTCTTCTAATAACGGCTATTGATAACCAATCACTTTTGCTAAAGGGTAATGTCTATTTTATATCCAAACCTTTTTTTGGATTCTTTTTTGTTAGCCAAACCTATCGAAATACTAAGAATTAGCCAAATGCAAACTTTCAGTTAGCAATTTTGTTAGTAATATTGACTTGGCAACATGATACTGACTTGAAAGAGACACATGAAGGTCAACATTTCAAAATTTTAGTATTTTAACTAAGAAAAGAGTTACAAAATTATTAACGATAACATAAAAATGGCTAATATTTTGATGCATTGCGAAAGATTTGGCTAATTAATAGCATTTTAATAGGTTTGGATAATATAAAAGAATCTAAAAAAGGTATGGATAAAAAATAGACATTACCCTTTGCTAAAACAAAGACACAACAAAAATCAATGGATTGAGGTTCCTCATGTTTAATGGTTTTTCGAGATATAACTTAAAGTAAAGCATAAAGTAAAAGATAAGATAAGTAAAGATACACATGGAAAAAAAGTTCGATCATAGATGATCATACCTCACAATCTCATTAATGGTATGCATCAATGCATCTTCTTTCATGTAACTCTATCCCTTTCACTAAAGCATTCCTAATTGAGCTTTCTCCACATGTAAAAGGAGCTACAACTAGCTTATACGTGCTTTTACTTCTTGCTATTACTAATCAATCAAACAAGAAAGTAAGGATAACACAATAACTACTTAGGGAATGTATGACCCATAGTAATGGTCCATAGCATTGATGATCTAAGGCATCAAATATTGAACTCATGCAAGCACGGATGGTTGATCATTTTACTCCATACACACATAAGACAATGACACATCACGTAAGAGTAGTCTCTTTTCACTTAACATGGTATTATAAACAACAGCATAGTAACACACAATAGATGATATAAGCATCACATGGTTAATGCATCACACAACTAAAGTATTCGAATAATATAAACATACATGACTAAAATATATAATGATATAGGCATCGAATGATGAAAGAGTTTAATGACCAAAACATCTCATTAAATCGTAGAAAGAAGATGCATAAAGCATCAATAAAATTTACATCCACAACAACGAAGTTGAACTAGCGTTACATAAGAGAGAAGGATGGTAGCATCATCGATGATGAGTGCATCCCCTTAACTGCACCCTTCTATGAATGCTATTTCGATATCGATTTGGCTCCTTGATCAAGTTTTTACAGAGTAAATTTGTAAGTTTTGTAGTCTATGTAATCTTATAGCCCGACCCTCTATTTACAATGTATGGAAGAAGAGGTTTTTATGCATTTTCTTCCTTAAACTAGGTCAAAGATGTCCAGGTACCATTGAGACACAGATTTCTTGACTTAGGGACAAAGGAAAACATATTCTCAAAGCTTCTATGGACTTGTCATTGTGGCGATTGAACGGCGTTCAGAGCCACCGTGGTTCTTTCTCCTGATTTGGGTTTCTTAGCCCACATGTAGCCTTTCCAGATTTTCATAGCGACTGGTAAGGTTTGGCTCGGCGGCAATTGAGCCCATTAGTGACGGCAGTCTAGACCCGCCCCGACGGGTATTCCCCAACCCGGCCCGTGTTGGGGCGGGTAGAACCCAAACCGTGTTAGAACAGGGCGGGTCTTGGCCCGAACCGCAAATAAAACAGGGCAACTATAGGTATAGAGGTTATCCCGCCTTGTCTCGTTCCACCCTTCCCCATCTTCTCTCCACAACTATTCCAAAATCGTCCAACAGCTCCAAATCTCCAATCTTTGAATTCTCATTTCACTTTCCCTCGTCCTCCGAGATTAGTGGAGCTATCAGTGCCAAAATCTCATCGTATCCCTAAATTTAATATGCTTTCCAAGACAAACGAAAGTCCTCCTCTTTCATCTTCTTCGTAAGAATCTCCTTCCCTATTGTCTTCTCCCTAAAACAATAAGCACAAATAAAAAGGAAAGCACACTCATTCAACTTCTTCGTAAAAATAAAACTCTTAAGCCTACTTTCCCTACAGAAAATCAGAACCAAACATAAATTTCATCTCTCTCAATCTACGCTCTCCCTCTCTCTTCCTTTGGTAACGAATAGAAGGAGGAAATTAAAGGCGATAGGGACACTAAGAATGACG